TATTCTGACATTGTTTCATGAACGCTCAACGCGATGGATCTGCCTTTTGCTCTCGCAGTGTATCGGCAATAGTATGAGTGAATATTTTAGTGCTGCTCATGATCTATATGTATTTAATTCCCGTTCAAAAGGCTTGGTGCAATTATAGAATCACAATAATACCCCCTCTATTAATTGGAATCTTCAATCCCCATTATATGACACTTGATAGTATGTGCTCGCAAACCAGCGCTTAAGGAGTAAACTCGATCGTAAACAGGTTGGTCAGCCCAGTGCGTACGGCCTGATGGCTGCGTGTTTTCTGACATGCGCTTTCCATTCAGGTCGTATCCCATGGTGCATCCTGGCCAATCAAGGGGTCGAGCTGTGTTTGTTTCTGTCCATATGCCTCCTTTCACAACTACCAGTCCCTAGTGGCCTTCTTACAGGCAATGGGCTCTGTCATCAATCAGCGTGCTCCATATGAAAATATCCGTCCTCATTATTGCTACAATCCAGTGACATATTATTGATGCGACATAATCCAAACTGTGCACCCACAACATGCGTTAATGACAATTGACTGAGGAACACATCCATATCTTGCTCCATAGAGATATATATTCCCCAACCACAACCCTGTCGTCACTCAACCATCCATTACCAGAACTCTCTGAAGTAGCTGTAAAGCTCAGCGAGCCATCAATAATGCTCTGCATATTCAATCCATCACGTTATGACCACACAAATCATGGACTACGACCAGAGCCGATACAGGACAAGCTTCGCTGATTAGCCTGCTTTTGAACTATCTATCTATCACAATTGGACACTAGTAGTTGGCTATCACGTATCGTTAACACCGATAAGGTCGCCGTTGAGCCCGGCACTGGTCACTTATGCCTTTTTATTGCTGGTCTGGTATGATCTGAATTCTTTTTTGCTTTTCTGGAGAGGATTCCTCGTTGATCACTGAGGATTAGGATGAGACGTATCTCCCGGTCAGGACGGTGGATCAACCAGTCAAGGTTAGAGTTGGGTGTCGTTAGCCTTTTCAGTTGAAGATGTCTACAATCCATTACAAGGAAAAAGAGAAGATGACATCAATGCTATATGGGGTGTGCTTTATTGACTAGACTAAGGTAAATACTATCTATCTTCCTTGGAAACAATGTTGCCCTGATTGATGACTGAGTGGGCTTGGCGCTGGTCTCCGCACGTGCGGCACGCCTCGACGCGTCGCTGGAGATTCGCGACTGATTGCACCCTTGTGTGCCTGCGAGAACAGCCTCGATAACATAACAATCAAACAACAGGAACGATGGAGCCGGTATAACGCAATTGAGTCTGGGCTCTTCTTAATTATACGCTGTTTGATTTTTCTTGTAAAGAGCAGGGCCTCTCGAAGGCCTGAGATTTATTCCTTTTTTTTCTTTCTTATCTTCAGTTTCTTGTTCCGGGTTTGTCGTGTGCTTCGAGCTCCCTTGAAGTGCGCTGCAATGTATCTTCCTCGTCAACTCATATTGCACCTCTACCTACAACTCCTCCGATCACATCATCCGCTCTCTCCTCCCGTGCTGGTCCTCGTAGCACTCGAACCCGATGCCCTCTGCGCTTGTCGAATCCTGACCGCCCTCTTGAAGCGCGACTATATCCCCCACAAGATCCAACCGGTAGCCGGATATGGCGATCTCGCACGCGCCGGCGAGGAGCTGGTCAAGCCTATGCAGACGCACAATGGGGGCAGTGGAGGCGTGGTCGTATGTCTAGGCGTGGGAGGCTTGGTGGATCTCAACGAGATACTCTGTCTGAGCAGCCCGGACGACGAGGTCGATGATATGGGCGGGGTGGAGGTATGGGTGTTCGACTCGAGGCGACCGTGGAATCTGAGCAATGTCTTTGGCGGCGAGGCAGCGGCGGCTTCGGCGGATGGGGGTGATGGCGCTCCGCGGCGGAACACGCGCGGTGTCGACAAGGGATGCATCACTCCGTCGTACAAATCGGGCGCGGGTGGTATTGTCGTTTACGATGACGGGGATATCGAGGAGGAGATGAGCGCGGAGAGGGAAGCATACTGCGCGCTGTTGGAGATGCCGGAGGTAGACGAGGATGAAGAGGATATTGACGAATCTGGGAGCGAGGATGACGAAGAACATCCGTCCAGCTCGGGGTCCAAGAAGAGGAAATCGTGGTCGGGACGCGAAGACGAGGAGGAATTTGACGAGAACGATGGTCCCCCGCGTCAGCGGCGGAGGAGTAATTCAGTATGTTTGCGGTCTGCCTTCATGTTCGCTGTTTGCTGTGATCTCTAACGTCCACGTGTAGGGATCCTCCATTACTTCGTCTCCTAGTCGTCGGCCGAGGGACGAGCATAACTCATCGAACTCTTCTCGCTCCGTCACACCGGGTTCAGATTCGCCGTCACCCGCGCTGCCGAGGCAGCCGTCTGCACGATCATTGAGGCGACGGCTGGTTCGGCTCAAGAGGAAGCATGAGAAAGTATTACAGAAGTATTATTCCACCGGCACATCGTATTCCGAACCGATATCGTCACTTGTGTATTCTCTCGCATCCGAACTTGGTCGGGAAGATAACGACCTTCTGTGGTTGGCCATTGTCGGCGTCTCCAGCTTGGAACTCAGTGGTCGTACAATGTCTGGTGTTGGCATCTCAAATCCATCAGAATCCGGGGGGTCTGCTGGCTGGGGTGGAGAACGGGGTGAACGTGTTCGTCAAATATTACGGGACGAAGTTCATCGATTGAACCCGCCCGACCCGTATGAGCGAGACAGAGACATTAGAGGTGAGATCAACGGCGTGATCCCCACAACCGCCAAATCCCCTACAGACAAGTCTATTCGATTATCTCCAGAGCCGCGTTTCATTCTGGTCCGACACTGGTCACTCTACGAAAGTATGCTACATAGTCCCTATCTGGCATCACGACTCCACGTTTGGACGGAGAATGGTCGGAAGCGATTGCACAAGCTTCTCGCGAAGATGGGAATCAGCTTGAGCCAGTGTCATCAGAACTACACTCACATGGATATGGAACTGAAGCGAGTGCTACGGCAACGGCTTCTCAAGTATGCACCAATGTATGGCCTGGAAGGACTCGTACCGCCCGACGCATCTGGTCATGTCTCCTCCCGCGAGGGCTGGGGCTTCGTGCGCTGCTGGGGCTGGAAAGCCTGTCTTTCCGCAACAGATGTGGGCGTCATTATAGGCGCGATCCTCGAGGTTGGGCCAGAGGAAGCCCCTGGTGCCACGTGGGACACAAAGCGCCTCTCGCGCCCGAAAAGCGCAAATGAGGGGAATGGCGCCGATGACTCCACCGAGTCTGATTTGTCTAGCCTTCTCCCGCGATTTTGGAGCGCATACGATGCTTTGTCGCTCACCTCAGAATCACCCACTCTCCTTCTGAAAGCACTCCCGCTTGCTCAGCATCTTCACCGGGCCATTCTGCGTACCGGTACATCTCTACTATCGAAGCACCAAATCCGGCACCTGCGAGCATTTCGCATTGCGGTTGTTAAGGACGGTCCAGATGTCAAACTGTTTACAAATCCTGGAGCTCTGACAAAATTGGCTCTCTGGATAGCTGAGGCCATCAGAGTCCAAGAGCGTGAGCGAGGCGACAGCGTAAAGATCGGAAAGAGGCGAGCCGCAGGGACCCCATTGGTACTGGCCGGACTCGACGAAGACCGAGGCCTATATGTTGTTGTCGGTACGGGTGGCGGCGGAGGTGTGATCGACTACGCGGCGATGCACAGGCGTCAAGAAGAACGCCGTAAGAAAAAGGAAGCAAAGGAGAAGAAGCAAAAAGAGCGCGAGGAACGTCGAGCTCAGCGCGCAGCCGAGCGTGCCCAACGCGCAAACGATGACGACGACGAAGTAGAAGCCGAGGAGACAGAGGAGGAATCGGAGTCATCATCGGAATCCGAGTCGGAGTCTGAGGACGAGCTTGACATGCGCGGCAACAAGCACCTTCTGCGCAACCGATTCGGTATCGCCTTCCAGGAGGTGGTGCAGGAGACCAACACTCGAGTGCGCATCGACAGTTTCGAGCATTGTGTCGTTGAAGTCCAAAAGGAGGATCTGGGTGGCTTCCTCGAAGCTCTCAGCTTCCGCAGCGTCGTCGGTTAAAGTCCGAGTCTCGCTCCGTCTGCCTTGCTCAAATGAAACTTGGCTGTTGTTGCCATTGCTCGATAATTTGCTCGAAGCTAATCCTGAATTCCTGACGATATATTTGCGATGCGTTCTCTCTTTGCTTGCTGGTTGGCTATCTGCGTGGGATGAGGTCTCTGGGGTTGGGTGGAATGGGTGTTATTTCAATGGAATTAAAAAGGAATATGTGTTCATGACCAGTTGGAAATCTGTTTGTTTACCTTCTTTTGTGCTTCCCCCCCTCGATTACCAGCATTTTTGTCTTTTGCCTTGTCCATCACTACTCTCTTGACCATGGCCATCTTGCATATCCCCTGCACATGTCACGGCGTTGGCGGTGTTACAGACCGGGCTTGGATTTCCGTCTACCCTTTTATCTTCTCATGATTGATTTATAGCTGTCAAGAGCAATGTCCATGCGTGATCTTGTCTGTTGAATAGCATGTGCGACATGTCCTGCATTCATTAATAGAGCCATTTTTACTTTGTTGTCGGTGATGATACAGCAACACCCTAAACCTTAATAGGGGAAACGTTAAGTCGACGGACAAGTCTGGCCCTCTAACGAACAAAGTTAAAGGGGCTTATCCATGGAGGGTCCAGCCTTCCAAAGGCTTCTAAGCAATTGTCAGAATTTCTGCTTTGTGCATGACATCTTGTTGTTTTGGGGCCTTCGGCGATTGCTCCGACCCAAGAAACGGAGTTTCCCCGCATATCAAATGCCCCGCGGTATAGTCAATTGCCCGGGGTGTCTCCGTATGGGATTGAGTATTTGAGACCTACGGAGACGCTCAATTCCTTCATTCATATGTTATTGCCTCTTTTTTATATGCTACGACCAAATATAAACCGCCATGTCTTCCCCAAAAGAATATCCCGCGCTGCCTCGCGAAAGCACCTTGTCACAGCTCCCGCCGGAATACCCCGCAGACGCCCAGGAACAGATCGTACAGCTCCTCTCGACATCTTCATTGAATCGTTTGGTTGTGCTAGACGATGATCCTACAGGCACCCAAACTTGTCATGATATTCCTGTGCTCACTGTCTGGGACGTCCCGACGCTGGTGAAGGAATTTCAACAAGATTCCCCGGGGTTCTTCATTCTCACCAACTCACGCGCTCTTCCCCCACTTGAAGCGGAGAAGCTCATCCGCGGCATCTGCGAAAACGTCTTGCAGGCAGCCAGATCTACGTCTCAGACTGTCGACATCGTCCTTCGAGGCGACAGTACATTGCGCGGCCACTTCCCACTAGAAGCAGACGTCGCGCAGTCCGTGTTCGGCCCCGCAGATGCATGGGTGCTGGCCCCCTTCTTCTTCCAGGGCGGACGATTCACCATCAACGACGTACACTATGTAGCCGAGGGGGAGACATTGGTGCCAGCGGGATTGACACAATTCGCCAAGGATGCAACCTTTGGGTACAAAAGCTCGAATCTGAAAGACTATGTCATGGAGAAAGCGCCAGGGCGGTTCGCCCCCGAGCAGCTGCACTCGATCACAATCGAGGATATTCGAAAGGGCGGGCCCCAGGCCGTATACGAGAAGCTCATGAGCTTCCCCAAGGGCGGCGTCGTCATCGTCAACGCCGCAGCGGAGTCAGACATGCACGTTTTTGTCGCCGGTTTGCTCCTGGGTACGTTTTCGAGCCCGTTCTATCTTTGATCCAATACTGAGTAAAGAACAGCCGAAGCCAAAGGCAAACACTTCCTCTACCGCACCGGCGCAGCCTTCGTCTCCTCCCGGCTAGGAATCCGCTCCATCCCACCCATCACAGCCCACCAACTGGCCCTCCCCTCCCCGCGGGAAACAGGCGGCCTCATCCTCGCCGGCTCCTACGTCCCCAAGACAACCGCCCAGCTCAAAGTCCTGACCGACACCCGCGGCGCAACCGGCGCCCTGGCCATCATCGAAATGGACGTCGCGGATCTGATCGCCTCCCCCGATAGCGCGGAGAGCGTGATCCGCCGAGTCGTCCAGCAGACAGAGACGCACCTGCAGTCCGGCACGGATACGCTGGTCATGACGAGTCGGAAGCTGATAACGGGGCAGGATGAGCTCTCCTCGCTGGCTATCGGGGCGAGGGTCGCTGAGGCGCTGGTTAAGGTTCTGCAGCAGATCCAGGTGCGGCCGAGATATATTATTGCAAAGGTAGGGAATCGTGCGTCCCAAAGGGAGAATTCTTTAGCTAATGGTTGAGTGGTTGGCGTAGGGCGGAATCACCTCGTCCGACGCTGCTACCAAGGGGCTTAATATCAAGCGGGCTATGATTGTTGGTCAGGCTGCGCCCGGTGTGCCGCTCTGGAGATGTGACGAGCCGACGTCCAGGCATCAGGGTGTCCCGTTTGTGGTTTTCCCGGGCAATGTGGGTGGGGAGTCGACTCTGTGTGAGCTGGTGGAAGCATGGAGCTGAGAATAGACGTCGCTGTATATATAGTTTACAATGATCTGAATGCACATATATCTAATGGAAGAGTCTACAACAAGAAACCTGATTCACAGACTGGGAATTGGATACTGGACTATGTGGCCCGTAGGCCACGCGGAATGTGTACCTTTATTCAACTAACCTAACTGGCACTTGGACCAGATAATAACTGCGTAAAGGGACGGTGATATGTACAGCCACATACCATCTTTGTGTCAGACGGAAATCTCCACCATACCAGTATCAAACGCCGTGGGAAAAAAGCCCGCCCATACTTAGTAATGCAGATATGCGCCATGTTGTGATGGCTTCAAGAGCGCCCTCTCGCAAGACTGCTGGAAAAGCGGCATCGAACCAAGAAATGTTTGTTTCGTTGTGTAGGATGGGGAACAAGAGAGGGATAAAGCGGGAGAATAATGACGACCAACCTTGTTATCTGACCTCGATTGCGCTGTTCGTCGAGGTGCAGTCCAAGACGTTAATCAAGCGCGCACTGCAAAGGCAGAGTCAGCTGGAGTTAGTTGTTCACCAACACATTATCTTTGTTCGTTGGGATTTCAACTTCCATCAGTGGTTTCAGCGTCGTAAGTGTATCGTTTCAGTGAGAACATAATGGGGACCAGCCCCAACACGACAAGTAGTTCGGCCTCAGGTGAGGGATGCTCACGCAGGTGTTGGCGTACCGGAGACTCCGTTGGAGGTGACCTGCCGCTTTGCAGCTGGAAGCGATGCGTCCTAGAAAGTAATTGAAATTAGTCAATCCAATGTCGGAACTACAAGAGCATCAACCGAAATGCGAAATATCCGCTTTCGCATGGTGATCCGTTTCCCGCTCGTTATCTTCTTTGACTCTCTTGTATGCACTTACGTCCAAAGATTCGATACTTCGCTTTTGAGCGCCTGCTTCGTGTTTCTTGATGATCTTCTTCTTGGGGCGCGTGGGACGGGTTTCTCCCGGTTGGAAGACATCGTCGGGAAGATCAAAGCTGGTACTCAAGTCAAAACATATCCAGAGAAGAAAGCGAACTATGTCCAGACTTACTTGCGAACGTGAGTGATGGAGAGATCATTGATGCCGGGTTGGTATCCGGCCCACGAAGTACATGTAGATTTAAAAATCTGGGCATCCGTAGATATGTCCAGCGAACGCGAGGCACCTTCTACCGTCAGCTAGCTCTCGGAAGTCAAGCGCCATACATACCTGGCTCCAATGGCTTCAACTCCAAGCCGATGTAATACGTCGTGGTGTAAATGATATGGCTGTCCCCGCCATTTGCGCTCTTCTCGCCGACAGGCTCAACCTCGGCATTCTCAACTCCGCTGAGAGCTGCGGCTTGGTGTGCAACATCTTTCCTTTCATCTGTTGTCTCCGTCTTCGTACCTTTATCCTGATACTTGGTAGAACCGTTCTTTACGGCCTCTGCTTCCTCTTCATTGGAGACGATATGCACTCTCTCAAAGCCTTTTGGAAATGGGTGAGCCACTGCGATGGTAGGCTTGCGGTCCAACGCTCCGACGAGGTGTCTAATCTTGGATTCAACAAGACCAGACCACACCGCTTCCGCTTCCTTAGTTCTGCTTGAGGCAGTGATGCTAAGATAGTATTTGTAATCCTGCGTGAAGAATGAGTGCCGTGCAAAGAGATCATTCCAAGTCAATTGCTTCAAGAAAATCTTGTCTACAATATCACCTCCCCGCTGGAGCTCACGAAGGATAACCGCCTTTGTGGACATTGAAATGTTGTGCGTCGCACACATCGATGGATACGCGGGGGTGATGATAGGCATAAGGTGGAACCGGTCGCCATGGTAAATCTATCATCAATGTCAATACTGCGAAGAATGCGGCCAGCGTCCTTGGTTGCCCTTACCTTGGGATTCCAGACTTTCATCTGAAGAGGTCCGTCCTCGATTGGCTTTAGCAGAACAGGCTGGGGCCACGCCCACTTGTTCATAATGCGGAAAAACTTGCCGACGATCACAGACCCGGTAGCATGTGGGTATAACTGACAGACTCGTGCTACTAGCATGGCCCAAGCGACACCACCCGGGAAACCTACAATATTGGAGTAAATGGCCCGGCCTGTAACTTGGTGTCAGCATGGTTGCCGAGAGATTATGCGAAGAGAGACAGATGGGATGTCCTTACGCTGAGCCCAGAGCTTGATTGCGCGTAGAGCAAGACGAAACGTCTTTTGCTGGGGAACCAGTTCTAAAATCTCATCTGTGACACGGGTTCCGTTCAGCGACCGCACTTCCTTCTCGTCAAGCCCCCTGAGGTAATCATTATTCTTCAAGTCGAGATTGAGAGGGACCGACGACACGATCAAACGGGCAAAGATAAGATCGATACTGATACCGGACAATTCCAGCTTGATGATCGGGACGAAGGCGTCGGGAACTGGTGTCATCTTTTCGATCGCCCCGGGGGGGGCCATCTTCTCGAGCACCGGGGGAAAGTCTGAGAAGAAATCGTCAATGAGGACATGTTTGGGGCCGACCACCAGTGTATCAATATCCGAGCCTATCGCATTTTGTCAATATCACAACCATTGTGATAAACGCTTCCACGCTACTGACCAGGACCATAGACACCCAGGCGATAACTTCCATAGGTGAAAATCTTTCCACCTGCTGCCTCGACTGCTGCAGGGGACAGCCCCTTCTTTCGGCTGACGACCTTGACAAACTCGTGGGTCACGCGTTGAATGAGCTGAAGAACTTGTTTCCTACGCGATAACAAAACATGGTGTGAGCGCGAACAACAAGGAGAAAGGTAGCTAAGTAGATCCCACCTCCGCTCTGTCTCCGCGGGACTTTCGAAGTTGTTCTGGGCCTTGAGCTCCGAGATCAAATCATCGTTGGCAGCGAGTTCATCGGGAGTCGGGAGAGCTGTTGAGATAGGAGGAGTAACTCCCCACTGACGCACTGGTGGTGTTGACATCTTCTATCCAGCTTGAGTTGACCAAAATCATGCAGTTGCGCCGTGTAGGCGTCAGCGGGAAGCGGCTAGATAAAGAGCAGGAGGGTTCGCTAGAGAACGAAGCAGAAGGGAAGATACAGAACGACACCGAAACAAATTAAATTAAGAAAGAAGTAGAAGAGCACTCATAGAGGATAGAAAGACAAAGGAAGGACTGAATTGATGAAACGACTACAGGAGATCGAATTGACCCAGTGAATAGTTGCAATCAAGATGAGGAGTTCCAAGATTATTCAACGATTGTATGCTGACTTATCAGAATCTTATCACATGATGTTCACCATTGCCACAGGAAGTACAATCACGTGATATTGTCTTACTATAGCACTTGAAGTTCAAATTGAACAAATGAGCAACAATATACTTATCAAACTGCAAGATAATGAGCCTACTTGAGTTGATATCTGCCACTATCTCAACTCAGAATCTACAGAACGTCCGCCAGCTGCTCGTTCAGCCACTTTACATCATCTTTGCTGTCTCCAGGACCACCAGCCCAGTCTGTGTTGGAGGATCGTCAGAAATGTCTCGCCAATGGTCAAAATCGGATCAACTTACGACCCCAGATAGAAGGAATGACGCGAAGAGTTCCAATGCCAGATTCCATGCAGGAGACTTCATATTCGGAGTCGTCGGGACTGTGCAGTGACATTTAGCATTAGACGCCAAAGCTCGAAGCATCACTTACGGGAAATATAGATCAGTTTTTCCTGGCATCACCAGGGTCTTAGCCTTGATTGAGGCTATAGCCTTCTCAAAATTACCGTTGTATGGTTCCTGCTGGGACACGTCTCCATTCTGCCAGGTCTGAAGCATCACCAACAGATTATCCGGGTCTTATCCGACGGGTCAATCGTTAACGGGGCCAGGTCAGGATATGCTTAGTGTCTGCGGACGGTTACCTTTGGACAAAGCCCACTTCTCCCAGAAGTTTTGCAAAAAGTCCTCCAGGTCCTTGTAACCAAGTGCTGTCTCGTACGACTTCTCCCGGTAGAAGGCCTGGCTGAAACCCCTGTCCAGACATGATCAGTCAGCTCTGCGTTGTTCGATATTACAGGGGACCATTGGACGCAGGCTTACCAGCCAGCATACACTCTAGCAAATGCTTTCAAACCGATCTCTCTGTCCTCGGCGCTCCATGTCCCCAGAGTCTGATCGGCCTTTAGAAGGCCAATCTTTCCCGAACCCGCCGATGGGATGCGCTTCACTGCAAGCAAGGCGCTCTTGACGCCTTCCAAAAACACCTGGTTATGCAGCGATGTTTTTGCGGAGCCGCAGAAAGGAATAGCGACGTCCATGAACTCAGGATACTGAGTCGCCCATTGATAGGTCTGTGCTCCTCCCATTGACCAGCCGATCACTGCACGTAGATGCTGGATTCCCAAGTGCTCTGTGACAAGCTTGTGCTGAGCGCGAACATTGTCATAAAATGAGCATTTCGGGAATGGCCGAACATTCGGCTGGTTGGTTGGAGACGAGGACTGTCCGTTTCCGAAGAGCGCAGGTATGATGATGAAGTACTTCTTCGGATTCAGGACTTTGTCCTCCCCTATAAGCCAGAAGTTGTCGGATATCACTTGGTGAAGGTCAGTATAACAGACATGTGTGTTTTTTTCTCTGTCAGTCTTTACATACTGCCAGAAAACCATGTGGGGTACACGATTGCGGGGTAGCTTGGGTCTCCAAATGTCTTGTACGCAAGATGAGCATCAAGTATCTTCTCCCCGCTCTGAAGTTCCCAGTCTCCCAGGTTAAAGGTCTCATAGTCTTGGTCAGTCATGTTGGTCACCAAGTTGAAGAGGGCAGATCTGGGAAAGAGCTCTGAAAGTTTGGCTGGTAATGTCAGACTGATAGGAACGCCTCTGAGATTCTAATAGTCTAAAGTTCAGCGATGAGCGGCGATTCATCTACATATTTATAGTCCCTCGATGAATCAAGAACTTAATTGGCGACACATTGCAGTGCCATGAGGCACAGGCTTCTTTGGATTGGTAACACCGACGGTATCCCATGTTGCGATTTATAATAGATCAGGGACCTTGTCGACAAGAAAGTATGCCTATCTAATTAATGCACACTATTACGTAGCGGATACGATGACCAACAAGGATGTTCTATTAGTCGAAATAGTCGTCTACCATTTTGCTTCGCTCTCGAGAAGTTGACGCATCTATCTACTCCATGGTCCAGAGTCTCCCTTATCGGTTTGACCCAGCAGAAGAGACAGCTCCCCACTTGGGGTGGCCTCGGGTATCTGACCAGATGAAAATCGGCCCGGCCATCGGTAGTGGTGGCATATTTCCACGCCCTTTTAAGCGGATTATAGTGACAAAGAGGGTGGAAATTAGAACATCGTAATATACATGTTCCGTGGAGTTAGTGCTGGTCCAACACTCGGGACGAATAAATATGAGGAGCCTGCCCCGATCGACAGAGAGCACTTATGGGTTAAGGGAACCTCTTGAGGAATTCCTTGAATTAGTCTGTAATGAGTTGTACAATCCCATATCAGGCTTCACGAGTTCAAAGATCATTGCAGACACAGTTGTACGTTGTCCGACCACCATTTGCACACTGAGGGGTGTCGTCTCGGGAAGGAGTCTCTGCAGCAAGTCGGTGCTAAAAAATCGAAGACCGTGCGACTTGCTAATATCTTAGGCAGAGGGTCTCGAGTGCAGTCATATCGTCCTCGCGTGATCCATATATCCCGTTACTATCGATCTTTTCATCAATCTGCTACAATGTTCAAGGTCGGCGACGATTTCGACAAGATTCAGGCTTCCCGACCTGACTTCAAGCGTGATGCGCCGGTCACTTTCTCGAAGCCCCCGAATCCAAATTGGAGACAAGGCGACGGTGCCAATGATGGTGGAGAGAGCCTGAAGAAGAATCACGTCGAAATCGATCCATACGAAGAAGGACGACCGGTAGCATCAAACTATAAACTGTTAATCTCGGGAATTGTCCCCAGACCCATTGCGCTTATCAGCACCAGATCCAAAGACGGAAAGACGACGAATTTGGCGCCGTTCAGTTACGCTCAGGTCATAAATCACGACCCTCCTCTTTTCACTGTTGGATTGGTTGGCTCGCTTGAGAGGGCGAAGGACTCGCTAAGGAATATGATCGAGTCGGGTGAATGTGTGATTAATATCATCTCTGAGCATTTTGTCGAGGCAGCCAACGCGACCGCTATCAATGCACCGTACGGAGTCTCCGAGTGGGAGATTTCCGGGCTGCACCAAGCACCTTGCTCTGTCGTTAAAGCTGCCCGTGTCAAAGAGTCGATGTTCTCTATTGAAGGTAAGCTCGTCGAGACTAAGGAGTTCCAGAGCAGGACGACGGGCAAGACAACGGGCACTTTGGCGATTATTGAGGGTGTTCGTTTCTGGGTGAGGGATGACGCTATCAACGAGGACAAGAGCGTCATCGACCTCAAGGTCCTGAAGCCCATCAGTCGGCTCGGGGGTATCTCCTATGGGCGTACCACTGATGCCATCGAAATTCCGAGACCGAACTTCTAGATGGCTGTACAGCACTTAGGCGGGATGAAGGTGATCCTCTGTCGGTTCGCGGGTAGAGGCTATAAGATATAGACATGCTTATCACATCCTAGAATTCTTCATTCAGAGTCAAGTCGAGCCCTTCTTCTCATAACCCGTGCTCTTCGGTGTTCCGTTGATAGATAGGCGCGTAAATCTGGCATGTCGCAGATCTAGCCTTTCCGGGCGCCTCCTTTCCGGCTCAGTTGTGACTATTGAGATTGAGAGGACAGGTGGAGATTCACTGGCCATAGAAGTTTGCGTTTCGAATTCGGTCAAAGCTCGGTCCAGCAACAAGCCACTGAACAAAATTAGATGGCTCGATTCACACCACGGTACGTGGGGAATAAAGATTATCGACGCCTCCACCAGCGGATTTGTTAAGGGCTTCTAGCCTTCCATGTAGGCTTCGAGGCTCGTTCCGTTGTCCGATTGTGGAACTCGGACTCACTCCGTTTCTGAGTCCATTGAGCCATGACCCATGGGAAGCCTGCCATGGACTAGTGATCCTGTCAGTCCATTATTTCCCCATCCTCCGGCTAAATTCGTCTTCTCCAGATGAGGAGAATTCTCCCCGACGGCTGGTCCCTGCATGCACAGAAGCTCAACATGGAGCTCAAGCAACAGGCACAATTGTTCCTTGATATTAGTGGCTTCTATCTCTCGTAAAAAGCATATGAAAAGCCGACGAACCATGTACCGGTTGGACCCACAGACTAGAGAAACGGGGGATCTACAGAGTCGCGAAAATAAGGAAATATTCGGTTCATTATTGCTCAGATCGATATTTGCTGTATGCTGTACCCAGTTTGTATAAATCAATACATCTCTGAATCACGGGACAAGCCGATGTAGCATCCAGAACCATGGGGAGGGTCACATGGCGGTCCCTAGTTTTTTTGGGGCCCCAGCCAGGGCGCGGAAGACGGAGAACACCTTAGCTACCTTACCTATCCATGTTTCTTGCTTCTGTCCATCCATACGTGTCTACTCTCTACCTAATTTCGTCTACCTGTCTCTTTCACATTTGATACCATTCCAGATTTGTCACCCTCTCATTTTACGTCGGAGTGATCAAAGCATTCTTCGAGCTGGTCCGGCGTCTTTTAAGCCAGTGTGGCCGAGCATTGCGCAAATAAGCACCCTCGGCCATCCTAATTCAGTACAGAAGCATTGTCGCTTGAGATGGGCTATGGAAAAATAATGGTTATAATCGCTGACAGTACGAGTAAAGATAATGTTTGACCAATAACATAGTCCTGCTGACGCATTAATTAGAATAATTATTGTGCCGTGCCCTCCCCCTCACCTCCCACATCCCGACCTTGCGATCTTGCAATCTTGCGTCCGCCACAAAGTGGGATAACGTCCATGGAGTTTTCTCTTCTGCTGGCGCTCCGTCCCATCGATCATCCTCATCCGCGTCGCCGGAATATACGAAAGTCTTAACTTCCCTCGCCAAGTCCCTGGGATCTGACTCTCAGTCTCGATCGTTTGCTCCAGCGTCGCAAATAATCAACTACTTAATGTGACATGTGTTGTGACCACGGATGAATATTCGCTCGCAATGAGCCATTCGTCTCCTGTGAAGAACGGCGGCAGTAATGTTCCTCCCGCAAGGCAAATACGTTTTGTCTCAAGCGATGGACAGCCCCAGCCGAAGCGCCGTCGAGTCAATGCGGCGTAAGCTTGCCTTCCTGACAAATGTTCTTTACGGAGCTAACCGTAGCCTTCTTGGTGGCTCCTATAGGTGTCGGACATGTCGCAAGCGGAAAATAAGATGCTCTGGTGAACAGCCAGGTGAGAAGCTGACGCCGCACTTATACTTATCGATGCTATTACTGATAACCTGTCCCCTAGTGTGTAAAACTTGCTTGGATTACAAACATGTCTGTTTAGGATATAGCGAACCTTCGACTCATGTTCGGACGCATTCAGAAAATGCCTTACAAACATCTAGCCTCACCCCTCTGCCTTCTGCTAGCGCGCGAACGAATCCTCGAACGGTCAAGAGTCAAAGTCCAGATGGTGCTTCACAGTATAAGCAACCCGCAGGCGGTGGCCTTGACCGGAACGCCGATCATACAAGCTCTCAGGATGCCCTTGTGTCGAGAGAAACACCTTCGAGCAATATCCGTGAGTCGGAGCAGCATACAACCGGAGCAAGTCCGGAAAGCAGTACGTTCTATTAGAGAAACCCGATCACAATTAGTATTGCTGGCTGCGTTGACTCACACTATTTCCAAAAGGTCGGACCTCCCTAAGCTCAAGCCATCGCACCCACGTTCCTTACTTTAGATATTTTGGGCCGACAGCCATTGTTCCCGGCTTCAAACAGATGGTTAGTACTTTCGTCTGGCTTTTTGCTACGGGAGTTTCCCACTTACTTATTTTGCCTGCAGGTAGTACAGGTGCGCGGGTCTCGCAAAAGCAATACTTCGTTGTCTTCAGGTATGCTTCCAATCCATTTCGTGCTTATGACCTCCTATGGCTAGTGTTTTCGCTTGCTTCTGACGGTTCGAGCGATATTACAGAGTCCCTTTCGCCTCTTCGCAGTCCAAAGTCTGCAAACGTGGGGGTCGGTCATATAGATTCGCTGATGGATAACCGTGAGTTCCGAGACGCGAACACCATTCCGTTCTATGACCGAGACGATACTTTACCTGTCAGCAACCTCGTCATGCACCTTTGCGACCTGTTCTTCGTTCATCTGGGCTGCAGTTTCCCATTCTTACAGCGAGATCGGTTTCTTCGTGGCCTAAAGGATAAGAAAGTTGATACCATGCTCGTTGACGCAGTCTGCGCTTTGGCTGCGAGATTTTCGCCACACCCACTATTGGGTCCTCCTCAGGCGCCGTCTATCGATGGCTCAGAGTTTCAGACTGACGTGAAGAACTCAGACCGTGGTCAAGCATTTGCCCATAGGGCAATGGGCGCCTTGGTCGACTCGCTTTCATGCCCCACGCTTTCTGTTGTTCAAGCCTGTCTTTTGCTGGCCTACGAACAATTCGGATCGAATCATGACAGTGGTCTCTGGATGTATCTAGGTATTGCCATTCGAATGGCTCAGGATCTTGGAATGCAGAAGCTGCAGGGACTGCAACACAGCTATGGGCGGAGGGGCGTGACTCCAAGTGCAGTTGTGTCTGGACGGGCAGGACAGCTACGGGAGGAAGAATATGATCAATGCGATGGTGCTCAAGTTCCTTTAAGCCCCAGCGCCGAGATGAAGCATAGTGAGGACCATCGCGCCTGGGAGCGGGAAAAAGTCGACACGTTTTGGAGTATTTTCTTCCTGGATCGTGTAATCTCCTCTGGTACTGGGAGGCCAGTCACGCTACGCGACGAGGAAATAGAGTTATGTTTCCCGCTACAGTCGGAATCGAAACTATCGAACGGCTGGCCTGCACCGTTCCCACCACTCATTCGCATAATACACCTTTACGGAAGAGTCACGGATCTGATCAATGGTATTCAGGATGCAAACCATGTCACAACAGAGACATTGAAGAGACTTGCCGGGATGGAAAGTGATTTGACAGGTAGGCGGTCATCTTTCTGTTCCTCCCCAATCATCTGGTCCCTTCGTAGACTTACATATTTTTTTCCAGGCATCTACCAGCGATTGTCACCCAGGCTGCATTTTAATGCGGCCAATTTCCAGGCCTACGTGAAAGCGAAAGAAGGAACAAATTTCATACTTCTCCATTTTGTAAGAAGATTTCCAACATCCACATTATTTCGGCTCTTGACCTAACATACATGAAGTGGTTTCACACCCTCATCGTCCTTCTCCACCAACCGACTCTCCTGAATTCGTTTGGCGGTACAATACAGCATCTCTACCCAAACAGCAGAGAATTGTCGATGTCCTCAGCCAAGACAATAGCCGACATTCTATCTTTCTCTGAGCTTGTCGATGGGAAGAGCTTTATCGGCAATCCATTCACGAGTCAGCCAATGTACATCGCTGCTTGCGCTTTTCTCATGGAGAGCGCATATTATTCGTCTCCCCCTTCGAGATCGGGTTCCCCTCCGTGTCAACCGCTTCTCAATGACCAGTCTAGTGGTTTCGTGATGCCAAACATGGACTCTTCTTCGGAACGGAAGTCGAGCGCCAAGCATATACTTCTCGCTTCCGCTGCCCGAGAAAACTATCAGCGGTGCTACAAAGCCCTCAAGGCTCTTGAGACATATTGGGAGGGTACTAGGTATATTCTAACCGTTCTCGATCAGAAGGCTAAGGGTATCGTTGATCCATTACTCTATACTGAAGAGGAGATGGAAAATGCAACTGAGACATTTCCACTCCCGCCCTCCGCTGCTTCGACCTACCGACAAGCAAAGTCACCATTGAGTGCCACTGTTGAGCCAAAAAAGGCGGCAAGTGCTGGAAATTCCTCTGCACAAGGGGGCAGAATATCACCGAAAATTGACCCGGGGCAAGGTATAACAATCATGACATATTGGCACTTCACAAAATGCGACAGCTAACGTATTTATCCTAGCCATTGGATGGGCTCTTACTGGAGCCACCAACTCTTCTCAACCGAACCTCAGCTTGTTATACCAGATGCCAGCTTCCCAAGCCGATTATGACTCGAATAGACCTACTTATTCTTCCCAGTATAGTCACAGCTACGCCAATCTGCCGGCGCAAGGTTCGAGCTCGTATCGGCAGTCAGTGGAAACGACGCGGGCTTCAGACGGGGCACGATCTTCATCAATCTCTAGTGGACCCGCGAAATACGGTTCGCTTGTCCCTCCTGGACGGGTTGCTGCTTCCGATGCCAATCTCCTACTGGGCCTAAATACATCATATTCTAACCGAACCGATAACACATCGAATACTCAACCAGCTTACACCCAGGGCCTCACCTCTTCGCCCTCGTCTCAACTGCAATCTCAAACCTCTCACTACAGTTACACTATGGCGCCTGCACAGAGCGAACGGCATGCAGGTAGCAGCCATATAAATCCACAATCGACAGATCTACAATCCAACATGGGCTCGACTTTCGGTGGGGTCTTTATAGAAAGCCAGGATGTCGATGTGAATGCTCTCCAACAACAAGAGCACTTTCCATTCCCCTTCAATGGTGAAATTCTGCCTTACCTTGAATATCTACCGCAAGATGTCCTCCATTACTTTGAGGAACAACAAAATTACCCTCTGATGAGCGCAGACGAAAATCATACCCGACCTTCGGAATGAATTCATGTCATTTTTGTTGCATACATCTGATGACTGTATGAATATACGACCGGTATTTTGTCACTTCAGTCATGATTGAATGAAGGAAAGCCACTTCTAACGTCTTGGCATTGCATATGCATTCTAATCAAGCGTAATCTGCTATTCACTTCGTTCTGCATTAATCTTATGCTTCGATTCAGCGAGCAAGCATCTATGAAGATAGTCACAAAACTAACCCTCGTCATGCATTGTAACTATCTGATCTGGCAATCTATATTACCCTTGCGACAGCATACTGATCCCATTCTGTATCTATATTCTGAATTCAAAGTCCTATTCCAAGTTGAGCCCATTGGTCAATTTCGATAGATGCGATTATCACGAGGTTATAGTGAGCGCTGAGCATGCAGACGGCCTTACTGGTTACGGGTAGATGCTCAACTGCCATTCCTATTCGTTTGGAAATTCTCAGATCGAATACCGAGTAGATGCCCCTGTCAGATAATAATTAAAGGCCTATGGAGCTTTAATCTATCGAACGAAACCTTGCGCCAAGCAGTGCTGATCTAGGAGGTTGACCAGCCACTAAGGTAGAGTAGACCGCCATCTCTCCATGCATGGTTGCCCTGCACAACCAGAGGATGAAAACACCAGCAACAACTCATCAGGTGGTTGCTGTAAGGACGACTGTTTCTTCATCAAAAGAGATGCTCAATTTATTCCATCTACTCTATCTTCAAGAGAACAGTTATGCATCTCCATCTTCAAACTTTTTTTGTTGATGATTTGCATGTTTAGCAGCGTTGTTTACTTATAGATACCTCCGTCCGATAAGTCGCATTCCCCATCATTGGAGTCGACCAACAGCACACGCATTCTTGATTAAAGGCTACAATCGATACTGATTCCTTGCGCATTCCATGTCTTTATTATGGAGGATATATCCGACGCCCCTCATTTGACCGAATTTGCCAATTTCATTGCAAACGAACCGCTTTTCGGCTCAAGCCCTTCAGCCGACGGACTAGCCCGCGTCAACGGGACAAGAGCGGCTTCCCACGAAGATTCACCAGATCGCGAGGAAGAAACACGACTGAGTGACGATGCTCATATGCCTGTTCAGGACTGCGGGTACAACTCCTCGGAATCCTCAACGCAACACTCCACGAGCGATACAGCTGGTCATGACCTGGACGATGACGACTTAGCTCTATTGGACTCGCGTGCATCCAGTCGCTCTTCAATCTCCTCAATTGCCGATTCGGTGCTGATCCACCCCCCGAGCGAGCTGAAACCTGCGATGGGCTGCGGCGCAGATGAGCGAATCCGCCACTCCTGGATCAATCAAGATAACCCCGGTCATGGCAGAATGGAGGCACAGTTCAAGTCCATACAAACAATCAGGCAACGGGAGGCTGCGTTCCGGAAGCCCAGTTCTGTGCGCGCAATGCAGATGCATACGGAGGATGAGGATGATGACGAGTTCCTGACTCCGCCCAAGCGGAGGGGCGGACATCGGATGTCGGATATTTCAATTCGTTCGGCGGGGTCGTCTCCGCTTAAGAGATCACCTTATTACTCGCCTACGGGGTCCGCGGGGAGACCGAAAGTTAAGAAGGAGTATCCGCTTGTTTTGCTTCACTGCACCTTGCTTCCTCCTTCGCTGCCTGTGCCAGGTTTGATTGGATACCCGGACCAGAAGATACTGAGAGATGTGCTGCCTCCGGAGTACTGGAGGAGATGGAAGTTGCTGGAGGAGAAGGTTGGTTCCAGTGTGATTCGTGACCGGGGTGTGCTCATCTCTCACCCGGAGGATATGTATGATCTGCTTGAGGAACGATTGCTGGAAAGTCTGGAACTCCAGCGTCCGCGGCTCCATCATGGCCACTTTTTGGGACATGAGGACACGGAATCGGAGAAGGGTGACCAGTCGGTTACAGAGGACAGTGCTACTGATGATGAGCAAGGAGAAGAGTGCCCTGATTGTGGAGGACGACTCCCAAGGCACGATTCGAGTAGGAAGTGGGAGATCAAGGTTTTCGCCGCGAACGGGCTGATGAGAGCTGGTGCCTGGGCTGCAGCCTGGAAGGAGATGGAAAAGGTGGATGTCGAAGTCGGCCTTTGGCTGCCGTCTGAGATTAGGCGGGAGTTGGAAAAGCGACTTTTGGACAATGATCGCCCTAGCACTGATCTTAGGCTACAGGTGCCGCAACTCAGGGAGCCCGCCACCAGCATCAGCACAGAGCTGTACGATCAATCGTCGCGGACGAATACACCCACCCCATTGATTCATGAACCAAGTTTATTTGTTCCTGAGGAGCCTGCTCGTCCGTCATCTCCAGCCTCAATTACAACGCCAGCGAAGGCTCCAGCCATGCCACCCCCAACGTATTCTCCGAGGTCAGTCGAAGAAATCGACCTGCAGACGCTGCTCATCAACTACATCCGGGTACTGGCTAGTGACCGTCGCAACGTGACAATTGTCCTTTTGAGTGTGCTGGCGGTATACCTTGCCGTTGGTGTCAAACCTCAAACCTCCTCTTCGCATCTTCGACCATTTCCTGGGGATATGTTTGAATCCATGCCTGTGCTCTCACCTACCGTTTCACTGGAGCAACATTCGACTCCGAGCTGGACGGAACAGCCGAGCCTTTCGACTGTACTCTCTTCAACGGCAGCAGAACCTGCCATGACTGTTGAAAGTTCCATTCTTCAAAAAGAAACCGTGAGGGAAGAGCCCAGCTCAAAAACTCTCGAGGTTATTCCTTCAGCGGCTTCTGAATCTGCTACTGTATCGTCCTCCAGCACTGCTGCTCCCACGCCTCAGAGTTCTGCTCCAGTATCTTCCACAAGAGCATCTTTCAAGAGCGTTGCTAATTCGAAAATTTCGGAAGCTCGATTGCAGAGGGTAGAAACGTCTCCTGCAAATCTAGATCTGGTGATTGAGCGATGTGAGCCCACGTGTCCGGCGATGATGGAGACAATCGCGCCAACGGAATTGGCGACCAATTTCTGAGATGATGACTGATTGAATGATTTTAAAAGATAATTTGACAAGATACTGATGATGGTACGACATGATGGATTCGATTTACTGCGACGCTTATGGGATCTATGTGGAGTTTGTTCCTTGATTTGTTCATCATTTCCCCCATTCAGAGCGTGCATTCAACGTTTGTTTGTTTGAGGTTGTTTGGCACATTGACCACAGGTTGTCAATCGTTTGTCTGTTATATTATATTCACCATGTTAGAGTCAGTGAAATGAATTTGATTCCATGAATAATTTCTGTTATTTCTAGCGTAACTACAATAAAAGAGGTGGTTATAGTATTTTTTATATTACTCTTTCTATTCTCTTAGTAAACTTAAAAAGAAACTACAATCTTAATTAGACCAAAGTTTCCCTAACCCTATCGTCTAAGAAATGAAAGAAAAAAGTAGAGAACCCCCTTGATAAGAGTATCCTTTTTTAACTACTCTTAATTATTAACTTTGACTTTCTTAACTAACTCCACATTATCTATAACTTTATATATCTCTTAGAAATTATTGGTAAAAAGATAGTAAAGCTTAGGGTTGTCCTTATTTCTATTAAAGGAAGAGAATAAGAATAAGCTTAATCTAAAGTTTGCGGAGGCTTGTAGGGGCTGTGAGTGGGGATGATCTTGTCTCTTAGGTGTCTGTTGTATTCATTTTGCCGTCTAGAGTGTGATTATGAATATGATTCAATTGAGATTCAGTATGCTATGGTTAGAGCTAGTACTGAACAGATGCTGTGAAAAGTTGGTTGCTACGCACCAGCAGCGGCCACCAACTCCCCAAACCGAGTCCCAGGGGCCCCTTTCAGGGCCGCCGGATTCCCAACCTCCACCACCTCCCCGCGATCCATCACCACCACCCGGTCGAAGTCCATGATCATTTCCAGCCGATGACTCACCGCGATGATCGTGTAGTGTCCGAACTCCGCTCGGATGATCTCCTGCATCATCCGCTCGGTTTCCCGGTCCACGCTGGAGCTGACTTCGTCGAGGAGGAGGACCCCCCCTTGATCTTGGTTGTCGGACCCCTCCTCAGGGGAGGAGGAAGACGTTGAAGAACGCAGGCGGATTATAGCACGGAGCACCGCCCGCCCCAGCGAGAAGAGCTGCCTCTGCCCGGCACTCAAGGTCCCCGCCGTGACCGGTGCATCCAGCCCCTCCGCCCGTTCCTGGACGAACCCCCACAGCCGGACCGCTTCGAGGACCCGCTGGCACTCCGCCGGGGTCGCGGTATTGGTTGGGTCGAGGTTCGCGCGAAAGGACGAGCCGTCGGGCAGGAAGACGGGGTCCTGGGGGACGGCGATGAGGCGTTGGCGGAGGGTCGCGCGGTGGATGCGGTGCAGCGGGATGTTGTCGATCAAGACCGGAGGTTCCGGGTCATGGTTGTTGTCGGTTGAGGGCAGCGGATCGAGGAGTTTCAGCAGGAGAGCGAGGAAGCTGGATTTGCCGCTGCCGGTGCGGCCGCAGATGGCGACCTTTTCCCCCGGGTGGATGGTTAGAGTGATGTTCTTGAGGGCTAGGGGCGGCTTGGTGGGGCCAGAGATGACGGAGTTAGAGTCGGCTTCAGATACGGTGGTGGATTTGTACCGGGCGGATACACCGCGCAACTCGATCAGCCCACGATCCGGCCAGTTCGGGTCTGGGACGATGTCCTCCTCTCCGGGACCGTCGCGGTCCTCCGGCGTGACAGTCTCGTTGAAGGTTTTCAATCTCGCGATCGCGCCGATGGAGGTCTCCAGTCTGGTGTAGTAAATCACGATCCCGGAGAGGCTCTCGCCAAAGGTCATCAGCGAGTACAGTGATGCACCGGCGAAGGCCGAGTTCGAATGCAGCCAAACGGCCAGCGTCGTCAGGACCGCCGCGATGGCCATCACGACGAGGTTGAGGACCAGGTTCAGCCACTCCTGGATCATGAGGAGGAGATACGCCGCGCGCTGGCTGGAGTCCACCAGACGGGCGTTCTTGTGTATGTCGTCCGGGATGAAGCCAAAGGCGCGCAGCGTGGCGATCCCCTTGAGCGTGTCGAGGAAATGTGTGTAGAGCGGACTCTTGGCCTCCAGGTCGAGCAATCGCAGCTGCCGCGACGTGCGGAGGTAGTATTTCTGCACGAAGTAGAGCAAGGCGCCCAAAATCGGGTAGCTGATGGCCAGGTAGACGGACGAGGTGAGCATCACAACTGCTTGGCCGATCGACTGAAATACGCAAAAGAGGGTGTTGAGGGTAGCCTCGGGGAGTTCGGTGTCGATGAGGTTGAGATCCTGGGAGAAGAGATTCGTGACCACCCCGGTGTCGGTATCCGTGAAGAAGGAGAGTGGTGCACGAATCAGGGTGCGTAAGGCTTGCTGGTGGAGATTGGCGCCGGCTTTCTTCACAGAGACGATGAAGAGCGTTATTCCCAGGAGGAGGAGGGCGATGATGGCGCAGATCTGCAGGAGGGCATAGATGCCCGCGTAGTAGGAGTTGGAGTGCGCAGGATGGACGGACTCGGTGGCGTCACTCCAGTATGTGAGCCCTGCATTTATCAAGTTAATTAATGAAATCGATTGAAGATAATTGGCAGCGGAGACGCACAGATGGTTGGGTAATTGGTGAACAGACCCCAGAGGGCCGCAAACAACAGACTACAAGCCGCCACAAACCATCCCATGCTTTTGATATACAGCTTATAGACGGTGGCGTCACCGACCTGCCGGGCTGCGGCCACCGCTGGGGCAATCGGGGTGGATGATTGCGTGCTGTTAACAATAATCGCAGGTTCGAGTTTCTTGCCAACCCCAGTCTGGTCCTCGTGTTTGGAACAAGGACCAGGCTCATCGTCAGCAGTAGTATCATCGCCCTCCTGCTTTAGTCCCACCTCCAGACGCTGAACATAACCCGCACGGGTCGACAAATGGGCAAAGGTGCCCTGCTCTGCAACACTGCCGTTTTCGAGCGCGATGATGTAGTCCGCAGTCGGGAGGTGCCTGACACTATGTGTGCACAGAACCACCGTCGACCCCCGTCGTCGCAGGAGACCATCCGGTCCAAAGACCTGCCGGAAGACTTGCTCCTCGGTGTCAGCGTCCAACCCGCTGAACACATCGTCCAGGATCAAAAAGTCCGAAGGTAGATATAGTGCTCGCGCAAGAGACAGACGCTGCTTCTGCCCGCCCGACAACGCTACACCATCCGACCCGATATTCGTCTGGTCTCCCTGGGAGAGGGTGGCGAGGTCGAAACTCAGGGAAGTGGCTTCAATGACCTGGTCATACCGCTCGCGGTCAAAGGGGGTGAATCCGACGATATTCTCTCTGATCGTACCGTTCCAGAGAAAGGCGGTTTGTTCGCAGAAACCGACGTGGCGCGGGGAAGTGCTCGTCACGACGCTGCCTTGGCTGAAGGGAATTTCGCCTAGAAGGGCCTTGCAGAATGTTGATTTGCCTGAGCCGACGGGACCGATGACCATCGTCAGGGACGAGGCGGGGATTTGTGTGTTGATATTGTTCAGGACGAACTTGTCTGCTTTCCATCCGAAGTTTGCGTCTCGGATGACAATGCAATCCGTAGCTTTCTCGTTAACCTGTGTTGGACTCTTCTCCATACCGCAACTCTGGGCTTCGACCAGGGGCTGCCGATAGTCCTGGCGAGGCTCCAATTCCAAAAATGCCTGAATCCGACCCAAGCAGGCCAGGCCCGAAACGAACTCTGGGATAGACTGGAAAAGCTGTGACAGCGGCTGAGTCAATAGAGTCAGGAACGAAAGACTGGTAAACATGGTCGAAGCATCCAGCGTCTTCTGAGTGAAAGCGAAGGTCAGTGGAGGGCTGATCAACTGAGGTATGAATGCGAAGACGGCGGCGATGATCATGATCCTGCGGTATCGGGCGCCAGCAGCGAGTTCGTCGACACGCAGCTGCTGCACGTACTCGGCCACAGGGCCAGCGAGACCGGATATCTTGAGCGATTTCATGCTGGCAATGACGGTGGCTGTGAGCCCGACCCGTTTCTGGACCCCGAACATCCAGGAGCGCTGCGAGTCACCGGTGAAGTTGACCAGGATCCCTAAGCCAACGAAGCAAACTACTACCACGCCCATGGGGGCAACAAACACGACCCCGAGTTGCCGATAGAGCATCCAGGCGGCGAGGCCTGCCTGGATCATGCTCGCCCATGTCTCGTGCACGAAGCGGAGACCCATTCTGATGCGCTCCATGTCGATGCTCATGAGTGTCAGCGCAGCGCTATCATCGCCTGACCCCAGCCGGACTCTTGTGGCGGCTTTAAACGTCTCAGTAACTAGTATGGAGCGGACCATCGTCCGCAGTCGGTGGTGGCAGTACCTAGCGATCGTGTGAGTCGCTGAAATATGCCGTAATAGCAGGGTATGCGTACCAGTACAAGGCATACGAGATTCCAATCCCCGAGTAGATGAGTATGGCAGCGCCGATTAGCCCATATCCCGCATTTGGATCTGGCTCCGAATGAGACAGATACGTGATGAGACTCTCGATGAAGAGAGGTTGGCAGATGTAGAACGCAATCAAAGCCGCCCTCGGAGGGATAGGCAGGAGTAGCTGCACCCACAATGTACGTACTAGCACCTTCAGGAGGCCGAATCTATCTCCCTTCAGCTTGGCGTAGTCTATTTTCTTCGCGAATTCCTCATGCAGGGCTTGTGCGTCGAAGGTGCTGTCGAGGGGGTAGAGGCTTTCGATTGTGAAGGTACGTCTATATCCAGCCATGAAGAGCTTGTTCAGCCAGAAGAAGACGCCTAGCGAAAATATTCCGCTCGTCTCCTCGGGGCTGTGTTTCGTTGCATCCCAGGCCACCCATCTTGCTTTTTGGCAGGCCTCTAGTAACAAGATGGCGGTCTTCAGCCCGACCGATGCACAGAATATACTGCTGTAAACGATCTCGGAACCGTGGTCCGAGTCTGACGACAGGAACAGAGTTCTTGCTCGGGCGATATCGAGGAGAAGGGTGAGAAACAAGTAGCTGTTAAGCAGCATCGATGGTCTAGGGCTGCGGCTGTGATCCACCACACTTACCGTCAGCATGAAAAGGGCCGATATAAGCTGCAGGGTGGAGGAAGCGATCAACATGCGGCTAATGTGGAAGGACCCGACCGCTGCTAGTATAAGGAGTGCAAGTTCCAAGCCAGCATAAATTATGATGGCACCCTAAGCAGTCAGCCAGTGGGCAGAGGCCGTGTAATAGAGGAGGGCATACATACTGTTTTGATGAATTGCAAGACAGGCGCATTCACCACAACGGGCTTGCGTATCTGTGCCAGAGTCCGCCATAGCGATGATGGAATAAACAAGACGGAGGGAATAATCGAGAAAAAGAGACTCTCAAATTGAAGGTTGAAGTCAAATTGTTCCTGGTTGAGATGGAGCAGGTTGCCCTCCCCATTAGTGAAGGGCATTTTTGAAACAGCAATTCCCGCTCCTCCGAGTCTCTACTCTCTCGGACAAAAGAGGGAAGGAAGAGTTTCAGATGGGAAAAGCTGACAGTGAAGTTGCATGATAAGTGCAGTCATTAGTGCAGGCGCTATTATGGGCTCCAACAGGGCGTAGTTCATTAAGAGTTAATCTACTATTTTTATTACCCTGGTCTACTTGTACTGGGCGTAGATTCTAGTGATGAGGAGAAAACAGGGGGACGAGAAGGGTATACTTAAAGACTATATAAAGGTATAAAGGAACAACAGTAGACCAGAAGTTTCTGAACCTGTATTCTCTCTAACAGACTTCAATCATTGATATAGATCGAAACTCGTTAAACCATGGTGCCTGGGCTCCCTGCAGCCATGTCTCGACCTGTCATGCTTAATATAGTCTAGGTACTAGGTAGTCGATAAGGTCTGATTTCAACATTATGGGCCACGGGGAACGGCTATTTATCTGTAAAGCTGCGCAGAATAAGAACAAGTCGGCTAGTACTACTGGAAACTGTATCACTCATTGCTTTTGCTGTAGCTTACTTCTATCCTTCTGCCGTGGGCCCTTATTTAGTAAGCTTATCTGTAACTGCTTCAGAAACTTGAACCTCTCTCGTGTAAATCGAGTTTATGGTTTCTTTCCGGAATGCTAATGCTCTGTTTTGGTAAGAATGCGGGATAGCCCTATAGACTGCTTAGTCATTGAGTCACCGCCATCGGTCGGAACCGCAAAAGTATCCATAGGATGACTCGCCATCACAACAACTCTAGTCAAGCACAACTCTTTCCCACTGTCTACACTTCCCTCAAAAAGCCTTTTCACACTCGACTTATAATTTAGCGCTCAAAATGGGAGGAAAGAAAGCTGCTGGAGAAAACTCCAAGAAAGCAGCCGGACAGGCTCGTGTATGTCTCTCGACCCAACCCCGCCCCCGCCTTTTTTTCTGCCATCGCCACGAGCATGTTTTCTGTATCAGGTTAAGGAGGGAGTCTGGAGACTGACGATCCACGATTTGCATACAGAAAGCCGAAGCCGCCGCAAACAAGAAGGCAGCCGAAGACGCCAAGCGAGCCGCCGAGGAGGAGAGGGAGTGGCAGAAGGGCTCAAAGAGCAACTCGAAGAAGTGAGCGACGTCGCGGTGTCTATTGTTCATATCGATAGATAAGTATCGGCTTGCTAACGTTATCTGCAAAATATAGGGAAGACGCCGAAGCCAAGAAAGCCGAAGCCGCTCGCAAGAAGGCCGAGCGAGAGGCCCTCCTCGCCGCCGAAGAAGCCTCGCAACCCTCCAAGCCCAAGGGTGCCGGCGCCAAGCAAGCACAGAAGAAGACTCGCGGTCTGGATCTGTCACAGCTGGACGATGAGCCCGCCAGCCGCAAGGGCGCTGCCCTCAACGCCACGGGTATCGATAATGCGCTGGATGCGCTGTCCCTGACCGGCAAGGATTCGTCGAAGATCGACCGTCACCCCGAGCGCCGGTACAAAGCGGCGTATGCGGCGTATGAGGCGCGCCGGTTGCCAGAGATCGAAAAGGAGAACCCCGGGTTGCGGAGGAATCAGCGCGTGGAGCTCTGCAAGAAGGAGTTCGACAAGAGCGAGGAGAACCCGTTCAACCAGGTGCATGTGGCCTTTGACGCTAGTCGGGAAGAGATTGCTGCTGCTAAGGAGGCTGAGAGAAGGAAGGTGGAGGCGAGACTGGCTAGTAAATAAGCTGGTCATCTTTTTGTCTGGTCTCTTAACTTCTCAACCCTTCCTTCCGCTGTTGCGGCTCGTTGCCGAACATCGTTGAGCAGGATGCGCATATCTCCAGGATGCAGCGCTCGGCTTTCACCACCTATACCCGGGCCGCGTACCCCAAAATGGATAGATCATGGATATACCGTGACGATGATTGTGGAAGTGGCTTGAGCTTGGACTGCAAATAGCAGAATTCCATGATATTTGGCGAGTCATGTCTTGAAATAGAGCGTCTTGCATACAATGTATCTCGATCATTATATCATCAGATAGAACTCATGGCTTGACTTGATGAAAACAAAAATGCGAGAGATAGCTTGTTCACACAGGACTTTGCATATTCGTGTAATTTCTTTGGGAAAGCTGAAGTTGCTGTCCCGCAGACATGTCATAATGGTATCTCGTGGTAATCTAAATAACCAATACAGGATAGGTAGAAGGGGAGAAACGATAGATCACAGCATCTTTATCCCATCACTGCTCGCACATCCCATACATACAGGTTCTCATCCCACCCTACGCTCGCACACCATCCTTCACTGCCAAAAAGACACCAATCAACACCTGTGACAAACTCGGTATGCCGATTCATACGCCCCAACTCCATGCCCATTACCGGGCCGCCGGGACCACCGCGCATAGGGTCGGTATCCCCCATAGGGCCCGCAGTGGTCTGATCGCTCCATGCGCGACAGGTCATATCGTAGCTACCGCTAAGTAGTATATTGGAAAGGTGTGGCGACCAGGACAGTTTCCGGACCGCGTATTCGTGTCCCGTCATGACCGCCTGAGGCCCCTGCTGTGGGGCACGTATGTCGAAAGTCCGGATGGTGCGGTCGACCCCTGCGGTCGCTAAGATGGACGGTCGGTATTTGTTCCAGTCATGGGTGAGAGCTTCGGCTGGAGCGCATGCGGCAGGAGGAACACCGGCTTTACCGGGAATGGGCGATGCCGGTGCGGCATGGATGGGAATCTGGAGGGTGAGGTGGTTGGATGCGGAGGCGGGCGTGCGAAGATCGAAGATGCGGACGTATGAGTCGGACGTGACGCAGGAGAGTATATCGGGGGAATGGGGCGAAAAGGCCGCCGAGTAGGTGCAGCTATGTGTGGGGAGGGTGAATAGAGAATGCGGCCGATGCGGCGACCAGACGCGGACGGTGCCGTCCCAGCTGCTCGAGCAGAATGTGTCCTTGGCTACGAGATTCCAGTGGACACTGAAGACCTCGCGATTATGTTCTTTCCAGTTCTGGATGGGGAAGTCTTCCAAATTGCAGTCGAAGAGCTTAATACTGCCATCGCCGGAGGCTGTGAGGACTTGATTCTCGTGGATTTCCGACCAGGCGAGGTCGTATAGAGAATCCTGCGTAGTAAACCTGGTGGCTTTGTCAATATAGGTTCCGGTTGCTTGCGAACAAGTCAACAATGAGACACACCATTTGGCGGGTACGATGCCATTCGGCGTCAGCTCTAGAATGAACAGCCGGCCATTTCCTACCAGCCCAAAATTGGCCGACGCGGCGACAGCCAACCGGTTGTCGAAGAACGGGGAGTACTTGACCGCACAGCCGTTGTAGCCCTCGGTGCGGAAATGAAGCATAGTGGGAAAAGAAGGGTATAGTATTTGAAAATAAGAATTAAAATAACCCGAAGAAAAGACCGGTCATGAGGGTATCATTATGATTGCAGCAGAATACTGAGAGGGATGAAGTTGAAGATTGCGGGGAGAATCGCATGCGAGGAACCGAGGTCTGATGGGAAACTAATTTAGTGAGGAACAAGGCAGATCCCACCATCGTCATTGCTCGATGTTTTAGTCGCCGCTGCAAAAACAGCTTCAGGACCAGAAGTTATCGCTTAATGTACGCCAATAAACACATATTTGTTTCAAATGACCGTCTGTTTGTTGTTCTCACTGTTCGTCCTCATTGTCGATGTCACTCTGACGACAATGACTCCGAATCGGCAGAAGCTTCACATACTGATCGATCGATGAATACTGACCACCATTTGAGAATGCTAATCTATAAGCCTTTAATACATCCAGTGGGATAGCTTCGAAAATGACGGAACCTGAGCATTGGCACTCTCCTGCCAATATGTTTCTCCAGAAAGAGGTCTATCGCCTGGGGTCAGAACCTGGACTCCGATCCCTCCCTCCTGGGCCCGAACGCGATTTCCTCACCCTCACCTGGGGTCCCATCGTCTATCGCACGACATATGCGCCAGACTCACAGCGGCTGATACCGATATTCCTCCGAGCGCTCAACGAAGAAATTCAGAAAGCCCTCTCGAGATGTCTACCAGGAAGCACGGAACAGATCCGTCTACTTGAAACAACATACGCCTCGAAAGTGTTCAACGCTCAGGAGGAATACCACGGACTTGACGAGGAGACTGTCCGGGATGCCTTTCATGATTGGAAGGTAGCTCTAGCGTTGCCCGCGATAGAACTCCCTGTCCGATTGCGGATGTGCTTGATGATAGATGATGGAGTGCTGTCGCATCTCACAACAACCGTAGATATGTCGTCCATGGTGGAGAAGGATGCGGACTACTCCAGTTGCCCCGTCAAGGTCATAGAGGAGAACTTTCCTGATGTACATCGCCGTGACTCGAAGCCAACAAAAGAAGATTATCCTGGCTGGACAAAAGTGGCATTGTCAGCAATTGTGGAGGTATACGACGGTCTGCGACGGGGAAGAAGTCTGGAGGATTATCATAAGTCGTCTCAGGTCTACTTGGGTAACGGTAACTGGAGTTGAGACATGCAAATGTCATAGTGTATATCGAGCTTCCTAGAGAACTCTGTAAATGGCGAATAATTACCTAGATGCTGTTTGAAAAAGCATTCTGATTGGTCATATCGGAAGGAATCACGTGTCAGTATACGAGTTAGTCATGTTTGTAGCCTAATCATCTTCGCCTTCTACAGCACCAGGACATAATCTTGGGCTCACTCTGAAATCAGATGGCTGTCGAATGGATCGCTTCATCTCGAGAAAGCGGCCTCGGCTGAGTCCGTCGGCTACGCAGCAGACGCTGCCCCCTGATGAGGATTCCACAGATATGAAGTTGGCGATGCTCCTATCACTCTTTCCAGACTTAGAACAGGATGCTTTACTGGACATTCTCATTTCAAGTGGCGGGTCGGTTGAAGACGCATCTGCCGTAATTACAGCTCAACGTGGGTATAAACCTGCCAAAAAGAGAACAGGTGGTGTGTCAGCGATCCAGACGTCTATGACCTCACATATCAAAACTGAGGCAGGATTGCCACCAAAAAGGCAACTCACACGGAAAGGAAAGACGTTACATCTTTTCTCTCCAGAAGATGTTGCTGCTCATACTCCGTGTACCATCATCCATAATTTCCTGCCCCCAGATGAAGCAGACGCGCTACTACTGGAACTTCTGGATGAGTCGAAGCACTTTTCAAGGTACAGGTTTCAGCTGTTTGATCGTACAGTTGAAAGCCCTCACACGAGCAGCTTGTACGTTGCTACTCCTGAGGAAATTCGCCAACAAACATCGGAATACACCTATGGAGGCAGATACCGTTCGAACGTGCGCCAGCTTACGCCGTACTTGCGTGCCGTCTCTGCCAAAGTTCAGCGCGCAGTGAACGACGAGGTTCAGAAGCGTATACGAGCGTGCTATCCAGATGGGAAGAAGCTCAAGTATCAGTCGCCTAAGGAATGGGTGCCCAATGCAGCATTCGTCAACTGCTATGATGGTCCAACAGAAAGTGTGGGCTACCATTCGGATGAGCTGACTTACCTTGGTCCGCGAGCTATTATTGGAAGCCTGAGCTTAGGCGTGGAAAGAGAGTTCCGGGTGCGACGTATCGTGGCGAGCAATGACGATGGAGGGGACGATAGTGAGGTGTCAGCCATGGGGTTGACAGCGGATTCTCCGCCCAGACGGAAAACCACATCGAAAGGGATTGATGGTCGCGCTGATGCACAGGGCCAAATCTCCATACACCTTCCACACAATTCTCTCCTTGTTATGCATGCCGAGATGCAGGAAGAATGGAAACATGCTATTGTACCCGCGCAGACTGTTTCACCGCATCCCTTGTCAGGTAACCGGCGTATCAATATCACCTATCGATGGTATCGGGATTCTCTCCACCCGCGTAACATTCCGCGGTGCCGTTGTGGCACACAAGCAATTTTGCGATGTGTGCAACGGAAACGTGAGAACAAGGGTAGATATATGTGGATGTGCTATGCGGGACATGATCCAGGAAAGAAAGGTTGCACTTTTTTCCAGTGGGCCGAATTTGATGACGATGGTGAACCTCTCTGGGAAATTAAGCCCACGGAAGGTGGAGCTCCCACGTTGCGCAACTTCGTCGAAGAAGACGACAAGCAATGACGGAGCGGAACGCATTACAGTACTCAGAGTAGTCTGAAATGTGAGTCTAGACCCTTTTCTGGTCTCGACGCATACAATGTCCCTAGTGTGTGCTTACTATGCGGTGTCACGAAGGGTTCGTGCATTGTGAGGTTCCATCGACCGTGAGCAATGCAGCTTCGCTTCAGCAGAGAATGTGAGCTTGAAAAGTATAAATTCTCTCGAGATTCTGAACGATCTGTCTTCACAACACAATCAACAACTCTGGCTCAAGATGGGACTTACTTCGATCCTCATTGCTCAAATTCTCTTCCTAGGTGCAGCCAACTCGGCTGTCGTCAAGAGATGGCCCTCTAGCGTCTCTCCGACTGGCCCGACCGACCCAAGCGTTGCTAAAAATTGCGGCTATTGGGTTAATGATGTTACAAATAATGACCGGTGTGCTGACCTAGAGGGTTACTTCGACATCTCAAGGGAAGAGCTGGTGAACTGGGTAAGTGCTGGACTACACATGTGCCAGTCCACGATTCTGACGGCGAGTTTAAGAACCCTTCTCTCAAGGATGACTGTCAACTTCAGAGTGGCCGTTCCTACTGTGTTGCTGTATCAGAATTGACGATGCGGTCGGCAGATTCTGCCGAAGAAGCGAGTCGTATGGACAAGGCAACTGTAGTTGAGGCTGCCGATCTGCCCTTTCCCACGCAGGGCGGCTTGGCTGCCAACTGCAATGCTTTCTACAAGGTTAAAACGGGAGACAGTTGCTGGTCCATCATAAACAGTTTCGGTAACTTTTCGATCTACGATTTCTACCGCTGGAACCCGTAAGTCTGTTTGACCAGTCAGGTGACAATCCCTACTGACATTGTGAACAAGGTCGGTTGGCCACTCTTGCGAGGCCCTATACCCCGACTACTACGTGTGCGTCGGCGTTCAGGAAGAGGAACCCCCAGTGGCTACGCCCACGAATCCCCCTGGCCCGGTGCTGTCGGGTACTCCAGCAAACTGTAAGTGCGAACGAAGCGCAGCAATGTGCCTTTTTGCGAACTGCTTCTGACGATATCGCTCGCCACAGGCAACAAGTATCACAAGGTGGTGTCAGGTGACAACTGCTGGGCCATTGCAAATCAATATGGAATATCTGTGGACCAATTCTACACGTGGAACCCCGCTGTGAAGCCGACTTCATGCCAATCTCTATTACCAGATTACTACGTCTGCGTCGGTGTCGCGGGTATGTTACTTTCCCGCAGCCACTTTACACCTCGTCTAGCGATGTACTTGTTATCTGACTGAATTAGAAACCCCTTCCGCCACACCCAACCCACAGCCGACACAACAACCAACACCACAACCGCAGCAACCTCCATCTCCTGGCCAGCCAATGCCAGATCCAATTCTTTCCAGGCTCCTCAGAGTTCTGCTCTAGGAATTACCGGCGTCCGGGACTCATGGGGGCCGTTCAATTTCGCTGAGGGCGAGCCTGAGATATGACAATAGTAATCACCCTGAGTCGCAACAGTGCCTGGCGATCTCCCATGCCTCCCCCATGCTTGGTTTTGGATACAGTTGAGCTGTGGTGTAGTGCAGTGTCTACTTTACATGCAGTCATTTGATATTAGTTGCAGCTTTTTTATCACGCATTAATAAACTCATCTGGATGAGCAAACTACTATTTACTATCATATTACGTAAATTCCTGAAGAGATAAGACCTCAACCACCTCATCATTCTAGATAGGATGTAGATACCGCTAAGAGGAAGTAGCAAGCTTGACCCTAAAAAGCTAGCCTCCAGCTGCCTGGCTGAGACTGGGAGTAATGGACACTTATTTCGCTAACTGTTGGGAAGGGAAGGGATTGCCATGGGAATTCCCACTGCTAGTTTTGCCCCTAGTCATGCGAATCCTTGATTTTTTAGGGATGGGAAGGGAAATCATAGGGCTTCTAAAATCTATAGAGAATATGCGCCTAGCCCTACTCCTACTCTATAAATCAAATCTCGGAGACCTATAGCATTTCCATTCTTATTCTAATATTACTCTATGGGAACACCGTATGAATTTCCCACCCTATATTTACTATAAGAATTATGAGTCCCATCCCAACTAGATGGGCTGGGGGAAGTCCCATGGGAATCCCAATTTCCCAAAATGGGATGGGGAATTGATACGGCATACCCATTTCCCAATGCTACGCGGCCAGCCTAGCCATTATGCCAGTACAGTAGAATTAGCATGTATAAGTAGTCATGAACACACGATGGATAGAGCGTCGACAAGCAACAACTTGCGTCTTGATAACAGGAAATTTTCTAAGCATGTTCTGGATTTGGATGCGAGCCCGATGTGCCTCTGCTTTTATAGCGGGTCTGATTTTCAAAATGAGCTCGAGTATCTCGGACTTTTACACCGTCATATCTAGCTCGGGATATCAAGACCGAATTATTTATAGGTGATGGGTGGCTACTGGTTTTGCATGATTGATCATGTATTGAATTTTTATTTATTAGAGAAGATGGGAATTGGATATGCAGAGTGAATATATGTCATCACAGAGCTGTAGCTCTTGCTCTCTACCGCCAGCCTGACCAGAACAAAATAGTGAAGTCTGTTATAAATTGAGTAGATCTACCTAGAATCATGTATGTATGTGAAAGGGAGTAGAAGGGTTATTGAAGAATATTTGACAGCAGCGATATAACGGTAGCTTGTCACTGATTTATCCTTATAGGTCATTGTTTGACGCGGAATTACATAACAAAACAGCGTTAGTGGTGTAGCGGTTAGCATTATTGCCTTCCAAGCAATAGATCTGGGTTCGACTCCCAGCTAACGCATATCTTTTTTTCATTATCTTTTTTGTTATGTATACTATTTCTCATCGTTTCGTTTCATTTGGACTCCCTTGCGACGTTTAGATATCTACATTTTAATTTACAGACATGAGTCTATGCCAGCTTACTGTGAGGTCGAGGCGATATCTGAAGCCATCGGTGATGCTTGGGTCAAGCTCACAGGGCGTGTCGTGGAGGGCTCATTTGATATTGTATCAGTAAAACTATGAGCTGGCTGTTATCAGCCGGATAACGGACAGAGAGAGGAGAGCACGAACAAAATGATATACGGAACATATTCGGCGAGTCTATCTGGGATGGCCCCATACGATAGCCTTTCCGTATCCAAGTGGGATGAAACTACAGAATACGAGAAATGGTGAAATGCTGCCTAATTCCACTTCTAATAAGGCTGCAACGTTGTCGATATCAGTTCGTCGAATATCTCCTCTCTGAGACCAGTATCAGACAGTAATCCACCACATACTGTATGATGCCTTTGCTCCATTCTGAATGGACTGCGTTTCTCGCGCAGAATCCCACTGTCAGCCACGACGACGAAAGCAGAAACGAGCGTTTCTTCTCTTCCGCGGATGGTCGTGTCCTTGCCGAACAAGTATCAAGCGTTGACACGACAGTCCCAGCCAGGGACAATCACCGGATCCCCATTCGGATTTACACTCCCAAAGACCACTCATCCGATGCAGTCGTCATATTCTACCACTCTGGAGGCTTTGTGCAGGGCTCTCTGGACACGGAAGATAGTATGTGACCTACTCTCACCTACAGGGAAATAACTGACTGAGACATAGTCTCGTGCAGGCACATGGCACTGGGTGGACCCAGCACCGTCATCAGCGTCGACTATCGACTCAGCCCGGCGCATCAGTATCCTATCTCTATCAACGACGGATGGGATGCGTTTGAGTACATAGTAACCAACCTCCCCACCCTTCTGCCGAAGCACGGCGCTTCGGTAAGGGTAGTGATCAGCGGGACGTCATCAGGCGGACAGCTCGCCGCGGTTGTCTCGCAGAAGGCGAGAGACTGGATGCGAGATCCAACAAAGACAACTGCTGCTGCAGGCGTCACTATCAGCGGAGTCCTGCTCCGCGCTCCGGTGACGGTACGTGGCGCGGATGCGGCGCTGATCCCGCCGTGTTTCAGGGATTTGCACCAGTCGTGGACTGAAGAGCTGGAGACGGAGAAGCTTGATAGGCAAGGCATGGCGGAGAATCATGGTTCGTGTGGAATAAGAGTCGGTTAATAGGTTGTTAACATTTCTCCAGATTCACTTGGGGTCCCGTGTACAGAGAGGACAAATCCTAGGGCTTATCCTCTCTGGGGCCGGTTTGACGGGCTGCCAAAGACGTACGTCCAGATCTGTGAGGTTGATATCCTCCGTGATGACGCAGTGTGCTATGTGCAAGGGCTTCAAAATGCAGGCATTGAAGTACGGGTCTCATTCTACAAGGTATGCTCTGGCCGATAGTTGTTCTGGGAAGAAATGTCTGATAGTCTTAGTCGCTGCCGCATATTTTTTGGGTATATGCGCCTCAGTTGGAGGTGTCGAGACGGGCGCAAGATGACTGTGTCAATGGACTGAGATGGCTGTTAGGGTCGACTGAGTAGAAGCCGAGCCGTCTGATACTATGCTATGTCTTCCTCTTAAATCCATTCTCTTATCAGTCTATAGGTATTTGTCCAAGGGTTGTCTGGCTGAGATGTATGATCTAGGCAACAATACACTAAGAGGTCATGGAATTTAACCACCCACCACTACAGTTTCGTTGTGAGCAGAAGTGTTGGTTCGGTCCGCAGTCGTAACAGTAACAAAATCATGGGGTTCATATATGCAAATAAAATGAATAGATAAGAGTGAAGATCTACAGTAATTTCAGTAACCTGTCGATCTAACCTAATATAAATAGAGAGGACGATATCGGTAAGAATAGTACAAAAGCTCTAAGGATTTTTTTGTAGATTGGTAGATTAAGTCATGGTAGGATCTACCTAAGCAATATCTATAATTAATCGGTTCTTTATATCCTGCCAGGTTGATATCTGTGGCTGTCTGTGCGAACTCTAGTCCAGAATTGGCCCGCTTGAAGGGATGATAATCAAGCTTCTTACTCTTGATGCATATCCAGTCCCCTATAGAATTCTGACATGCAGACAGTCTGCGACCGTATTCTATTGTTACGTTAGAATATGTCGTACCCAATGACTAGTGAGCATAACTGTTATTGAATGTCGGGATACTCAATCAGACCGCTTTTTCATTGGTGTTTCAGGGCTATCTTCTTAGACCCGGATCGTCCTTGATCCACCTGTGCTGGTGGCCGTGCTGGGTAAGGTTGTGCCCGAAGTGTACCAGTTAGATATCTATTCCGTAGCACCTTCACAGTAGACTACACTCTAAGTACACATTTATTAGCCTATTGATTATTTGGCCGGTTACCTGAAAAGGAAATGATGTGCTCGGCCAATTCGGGTCGGAGCTGTCGGAAGGAACAGTCATTATTTTGTTTCTCCTGCAATTTGGTCGTAACTCGTAAGTCATGGCCAGGGCGATAGGACTAGCTTGAAAGATCGTTGGCTAGGTGTCGGAGGAGGACGCCACTTACGGGACCCTGAGATATATATAACCGCGGCACGGCTGCGCATGCCGAGTGGCTGGTCCACAACGGAGCCGGTGCTTGTTTCGACTTGATAAGATGATAGGCGAAAACTCGGACCTATGCTAGAATTTTCTGCCTTACTTGCTTGGCCTTGACAACAACTGCTTCACTAAGGCGAATGGCGGGTCGATCGGGCAGTCTTAGCCCGTATCTTGTAGCTACTACTCCGTACAGTCCTGCTCATTGGGCTTGAAGGCTGTTCAAGTTCCACCAGCGATACAGTATCGCGATCGGGCCCTCTCACAAAGTGTAATCTGGCTCATACTGTTAGTCGAGTGGGTTAACACGACGATGCATGAGAGGTGATACGATGTATTCGATGGGTACCATGATAGTCGATGTTGTTTTCGAGGAAAAAGATACATTACCTAGTATAGAAGTTCTTGCTGCCTATGACTATGCCACCTGACAAGGATGTACCTTTACTGTGTCTTTCGTAATCTGCAGTGGCTTCTGACAGAATCTCACTGATCCCTCCAGACAAGTCCAGAGGAGTCCACACACCTACAGATACGACTTAAGATGGCCCACTAAAGGCTCCAATTTAATTAATTTCCCAGAATAGCCACGGAAAACCCGTCGAAGTGATGTCGTGGCGCGTGGTTGGCAGCCCACTGCTACCCCACCGCTGTGGAACTGTCCCAGATGTCTCATATCGTTTGATTATTGAGACACCGGTCTGTCGTCATTATATGGAGACTGCGAAGAGTTTTAGTGAGACAATGGCCACCTGCATACAGTGGATAGTCTGGACGCAGCCTGCTCAGCGCTGGATGACTTTTCTCCCCGCTGTTCCTGGTCTGGTGGTGTTGCAACTCCCAGTGTCAATTTTCCCTCTGAGTTGACAGACCACTCGTTCTTTCGTCTTTCGTTTTATTTTTACCATCCGTTCTGTGGCTCTTCCGCATCTCAGAGCATGATCGACTGAACCCGTTCACGACTCTCGAGAGCTTGAAGGCACTTCAGAAATGTTCACGGAGACGCAGCGCTCAGTCGCTCTCATCCTGTCATTGCTGAGCGTCAGTGCACTGTGTTGGCCCTACACCGAGTCGCTCGTTGATTATAACTTGAACGAAAACAGATCGGCGGAATCGCCGATTGACTACTGGGGAGAATGGCCAAATCATAAATACCACCCTTCGCCGGACAACTGGCGTTTCCCCGTCTACACGATCTTTCTGGACCGAATCGCGAACGGTGATCCAACAAATGACGACATCAACGGTACCGCTTTTGAGCATGTACTGAACTCCAACCAGATGCGTCATGGAGGGGATCTGGTCGGGTTGATTGATACGCTGGACTATATCCGGGGCATGGGTTTCAAGGTGCGTTTGAAACCGCTTCCGTGTCTGATGCGTTGCTTACAAATATAGGGTATCTACTTTGCTGGAACAGGCTTGATGAACCTCCCTTGGGCCTACGATGGCTACTCGCCGGTCGATACAACCCTGCTGGACATGCACCATGGCACACTGCAGGACTGGAGACGGACCATCACCGAGATTCACAACCGTGATATGTATGTGATTATGGACAATACGCTGGCAACGTAAGTGTTTTCTCCGGTCAACGTTGTATTACCGCAAGCTTACATCGATACGCAGACTGAGCAACCTGATCGGTTTCAAAGGCCACCTCAACACCTCAGCCGATTTCCGACCAGACGAATATGAGGTCGAGTGGATCACGGATCGTCGGTATGCCGATTTTAAGTTCAGCAATGAGTACAACGAGACTTGCGACTACCCGAAATTCTGGAATGAGACTGGCTTGCCGTTGTCATCCGGCGGGGTTGAGGAATTGAAGGGTTGCTATAATAGTGATTTTGATCAGTATGGAGAACTAGAGGCATTTGGCAACTTCCCTGACTGGAAGCGCCAGCTCACCAAGTTCGCCTCGGTGCAAGATCGGCTGCGTGAATGGCACAAGCCCGTGCGTGATATCATCACCAAGCATTACTGCATTCAAATTGCCAGTTTGGATATCGACGGTTTCCGCTATGATAAAGCTGTTCAGGCGACCCTGGAGCCCCTGGGTGAGATATCGGCGGCATTCCGCGAGTGTGCAAAGAAATATGGCAAGCATAATTTCTTCATACCAGGCGAGATCACATCTGGCAATACCTTCGGCAGTCTCTACCTTGGCCGTGGGCGCCAGCTAGATCAGCGTCCAGAGTCCGCAGGCGCTGCTGTCAAGCTGAAGAACGATTCAGACGCTCAATACTTCCTCAGAGAGGACGGCCACCAGGCGTTGGATGCAGCCGCGTTCCACTATACTATCTACCGTTCGATGACCCGTTTCCTCGGAATGGATGGTAACCTTGTTGCTGGCTTCGACTTGCCTACAGATTTCATTGAGGCATGGAACGGGATGCTTGTGTCCAACGATTTCCTAAACCCCATGACCGGTCAGCTCGACCCCAGGCATATGTATGGTGTGTCGAACCAGGATAACTTTCGCTGGCCCGCGATCAAAAACGGTACGGAGAAATACCTCCTGGGTCTTTTCATTGTCACGCTGGAGCTCCCTGGCATTCCCCTCATCCTGTGGGGTGAGGAGCAGGATATGTATGTTTTCGATGCCACGGCAACAAACTATCTCTTTGGTCGGCAGCCGATGACCTACCAGACCGCATGGTGGACGCATGGCTGCTTCAACTTGAATACAACCAAATTCTACAACTTCCCAAATGAAAGGGGTCTGTACGGCTGTCACGACATCACCGTCACTTACGACCAGCGCAATCCTGCTCACCCACTCCGCAATATCATGAAGCGCATGTTCGAAATCCGGGAGCACTATCCTGTTGCTAATGATGGCTTCTATCTCCAGACCCTCTCCCAGCTTACCAAGGATGTCTATCTTCCTGGTTCATCGGACACCCCCACAGTGACCGGTCTGTGGTCGGTCTTGCGAAGCTACTTCCCTGAGGTCCAGCCAGAGGCTTCCAAGGGCAACAATAGTATTTGGCTTGTGTATCACAATGACAACAAGACTGTAACCTACGGTGGTGACTGCAAGAATCGGAGTACCGCGTTATTGGCTCCTTACAAGTCGGGAACGAAGCTGAAGAATGTGTTCGCCCCTTACGACGAGCTCACTTTGGAAGATGGTCCTGGCGAAATTGAGGTCCAGGGAAGGAACGAGTCATACGGTTGCGCTCGCAACATGACTCTCCTTCCATGGGAATACCGAGCTTATGTGGAGGCCGATAGATTTGTTGAGCCTGGTCCCACTGTTACCGAGTTCGTTCCCGGCCACGACGCACGTTTACTGTCCGCGGAGGACACGGGGGAAACCGTCGATATTCAGCTTGGATACTCAAAGGAGATGGACTGTACCGGCGTGACTCAAGCGATCTCCCTAAACTCTACCACCGAAAAGGGCATCACACCGACTCTCGATACATCCAGTGTCAACTGCGGCAAGATCACTCCACGGACAAGCAGTCATCACTACGTCGGGGAGGTCCCCACTCTCTGGACATGGTCCGCCAAGCTGAAGAACGTTCACCATGGCATCCACGAGCTGACCGTCAAAAACGTTTCAACAACGTCCGGAGTTCGGACCAACGCCGTCGACCGGTTTTTGTTCCGGATGGGAACTCCAACGAACCCGCTGATAACCCCTCTCGCCAACTACTCCACAAGCCTTGTGCACAAATCTGAGGACGGCGACATTTACATTCAGCATGAGGCCGCCGGGGCTGACATGTTCCGCTACTCGACAACTTTCGGTCGGACATGGTCAAATTGGACAACGTATACCGGTGGGAACACGACGATTGACGTTGCTCCTTGGACCGGCACGGATGCTCAGAAATGGAAGGGAACTCACGTCCGTGTGCAGTATTTTTCGAGGCTCACCGGTAGTAGTGACTACATCCAGGAAGGTGACCATGACTGGCAGGATGGTGTGCCACGAAGATTCCCTCATCTGTGGTGGAACGGACCGTACAATCAGTTCGGCTACGATGCTGGACTGGATAGCAATATGAGGTACGACGCCAAGGAGGGTCGCTGGAAGTATGACTTTGTGTATGAGTGGCCATCTACTGGACAGATCAGTGTTTGGGGAGTGGGACCAGATGGCCTGCCAGATCCTACAGAGGTCTATGGTGACGTGGACAACGCGTCTGTGGTCCAGAAGCTTCCGCCGTCCTATCTCTCGTCGAACGTGATCAACATAACCACGTTGCCTCCATTTCCGCACCTCGGCTGGACCATCTCTCTTAATGATGCCAACCTTCGATATGAGATGACCCCCGTCGGGTCTGGATGGGTTCAGCTCGTCCTCTTCATCCTCCTATGGGTTGTTCCTATCCTAATGGGCCTTGCCGGTGCCTTTATTTTTATGAGAACCTTCTACCGCGTCAAACTGAACACGGATGGCACTGCGGCTAAAGAGGATAAGCTGCCGCTGCTTTGGCGCAAGGTCAGAGCACAGTTCGCCGGGGATGATGACTCGGAAATGGCGATATCCGACAAGGCGGTGCTGCCGGAGAATGTGGTTGCAGGCGCAGCTGAACAGCGACGTACGGTTTTGATCGCCACTATGGAATACCTCATCCAGGATTGGAAGGTCAAGGTCAAGATCGGTGGTCTGGGAGTCATGGCACAACTAATGTCCGAGCACTTGAGGCACCAGAACCTTATCTGGGTGGTCCCTTGCGTTGGTGACATTGAGTATCCCGAAGACACACCAGCGGAGCCAATGGTGGTCACCATCCTCGACAAGCCCTATCTGGTGAATGTGCAATACCACGTCGTCGACAATATCACCTACGTCCTCCTCGATGCGCCAGTCTTTCGGCAGCAGACTAAAGCCGAGCCTTACCCCCCACGGATGGATGACCTCGACAGCGCAGTCTACTATTCGGCATGGAACCAGTGTATTGCGGAGACGATCAAGCGGTTCCCTTCTATCGATCTCTACCACATCAACGATTTCCACGGTTGCTTGGCTCCCCTCTACCTGCTGCCGACACGAACCGTCCCGGTCTGTCTATCACTGCACAACGCCGAGTTCCAGGGTCTCTGGCCGTTAAGGACCCAACAAGAGAAGAAGGAAGTTTGCTCAGTTTTTAATCTTCCTATCGAAACCGCGACCAAATACTGCCAGTTTGGAAACGTGCTCAATCTTCTCCATACAGGCGCAAGCTATCTTCGATTCCACCAGCGTGGTTTCGGTGCAGTCGGCGTGTCCAAGAAGTACGGAAAGCGCTCATGGGCTCGCTACCCAATCTTCTGGAGTCTTGATAAAATTGGCAGTCTCCCGAACCCAGACCCCTCGGATACTGGTGCCGTCGGCGATGGAGCTGAGACAAATGTTTCAATCCCGTCTCCCGAAGATCGGATTAGAGACAAATTGCAGGCGCAGAAGTGGGCTGGTCTGAAGGAAGATCCCAATGCCGATCTTCTCGTGTTTGTCGGACGGTGGTCGAAGCAGAAGGGTGTTGATTTGATCGCTGATGTTATGCCAGCGATACTGTCAGCTAGACCTCACGTCCAGCTGATCTGCGTTGGGCCCATCATTGACCTGTATGGCAAGCTGGCTGCTATCAAACTGGAGCGCATCATGGCCATGTTCCCAGGGCGCGTGTTCTCCAAGCCAGAGTTTACCATTTTGCCTCCGTATGTGTTTTCCGGCGCCAACTTTGCTCTGATTCCGTCTCGAGACGAGCCATTTGGGCTGGTTGCGGTCGAGTTCGGTCGTAAAGGTGCGCTGGGGATTGGCTCTCGCATTGGAGGTCTAGGTCAAATGCCCGGTTGGTGGTACACGGTGGAATCCGACGCGACCCGCCATCTGTTGCATCAGTTGAGGACTGCCATCAAATCCGCACTGGACTCGGACCAGGAGACCCGGGAAGAAATGCGCACGAACTCTGCCAAGCAACGATTCCCTGTGTTGGAATGGATCCAGAAGTTGGAAACCTTGCAACAGACGGCCATCCAGATCCATCATACAAAGAACAAAAACACTGTCGCTGGTCCCATGCCGGAGCCGCAGATCTACTGGGAGATGCAGAACATGCGGGACTCCACAACAAGTCTGCCTGGATTGGCCCAGTCTGTTCCAGACGGTCTGGAGACTCCGCCTTCAAGAGTGATGCTGAACGCCGAGTCGCGGCTTCAAGAACTGCAGACGGACGACGGAAACAGGAGCAGTCTAGGTCGTAAACTCTCCCTCGGCCGACGAGCTGGACCTGGCCAGGGCAGGAACCGTCTGGTCAAGAAGTCACTTCGCGACAGTCAGGTCGTCGAGAGCCAGCTGGATGAGGAGGCCACCGATGCAGAAGTCGATGAGGATGACTCCAATTCGCACCGGGTGGACTACATCTCCACTGATGAGGCCATGAGGGCAGTCAGCCACGCTCTTGGATTTCAAGACAATGGCGAGTCGGTAGGAAATGGAAATGGAAATCGGAACAGCGTTACGCCGCCGTACCATTCCATGCCAGGCTCACCGTACTTCGTCTCGCGGGCTTCGTCGCCAGCGCCGAGGACGCCTTCTGATATGCCTCAATACCCATTCCAATTGGCACTTAATTCCGGCGAGGGCATGCCGTTTGCCCACTCCCGCAATGTCTCCGTTCTGTCTCTGCCTTCAGTGATGGGCGACCACAATCAGCAAGTCTTCGAGTTGCAAAAGGTCGACCCGACCTTTACGGACAGCATGGGCCACTTCACCCGGCGATTCGAACAGCTGCTCAACAAGTTGGACAAGAAGAACTCAATGACGGACTGCTGCATCGAGACCTACTTGATGAAGAGCGAGCGCAAGTTTTATAACATGTACAACGACGCGCAGCTGAAGAAACACCATGCCAAGGAGTCTATTTCTTCTTCGGCCAGCCCGGACCAGCTCGACCATGAGACGCAATATAACCGCCTCTCGACCGCCACGGCCGGTTCGGACCCGAGCGACTCCGATGAAATCGATCGCTGGCTTTCCCGGCTAGGATACAGGCGCCCTATGGCCATTCAGCGATTCATGCGACGACGGATCGGAAACTGGCCCGTCTACGCTCTGTTCCTAGGCCTTGGACAGATCATCGCGACCAACTCCTCTCAAATTACCCTGCTGGTCGGCCAGGTAGGCGAGACAGCAACCAAGTTATATGTCATCGCAGCGATCTACTGCGTCTCGTCGATCGCATGGTGGTTCATGTACGCCCGTCTGCCAGCGGTGATCGTCCTCAGTCTCCCGTGGTTCATATACTGCTTGGCGTTTATTGTAATTGGTGTGTCTCCCTTTGGACTGTCGGAGGTCGGGCGAGGATGGGCCCAAAATGTCGCTGCAGGCGTCTACGCCGTGGCGTCGTCTAGCGGTTCGTTGTTCTTCGCTCTCAACTTCGGTGACCAGGGCGCCGTCCCCGTCAAGGATTGGATGTTCCGCGCCAGTCTCATCCAGGGAATTTCGCAGCTGTACACCGTTGCACTGTGGTACTGGAGCTCCAAGGTCACCGCCACGGAAATTGGAGGCGTGTCCACCCTCGCATTGAGCACCTGGAGGCTCACGGCCGTGGTGATGCCGATTGCCGCGGTATGCTTCCTCATCGGCGTGATCCTCGCCCTGGGCCTGCCCAAATACTACCGCCAAGCACCCAGTCGGATCCTCTTCTTCTACACATCGCTCTTCCGTCGCCGCATCGTCCTCTGGTTCTTCTTCATGGTCATCGTGCAGAACTGGTTCCTCGCCGCCGCATTCGGCCGCAACTGGTCGTTCCTCTGGTCCTCCAAACACGCCAAGACATGGGAGGTCGTCATCCTCGTGGTCGGCTTCTTCATAATCCTCTGGGTGCTCATTCTTTTTGTCTTCCGCGCGCTGTCCAAGGAGCACAGCTGGATCCTTCCCGTCTTCGGACTCAGTCTGGGCTCCCCGCGCTGGGCACAAACATGGTGGGGAACGTCCAATATCGGGTACTATCTCCCTTGGGCGGGGAGCCTGACGTCTGGTGCCATCGTCTCCAGATGTCTGTGGCTCTGGCTCGGTGTCCTCGATGAGATCCAGCAGGTTGGTTTGGGTATGATCCTCCTGCAGACTCTGACAAGAGTGCACGTCTGCTTTGTCCTCCTGGCTGCGCAGGCCGTGGGATCGATCGCTACCATCTGCGCGCGCGGATTCGCACCGAATAGACTCGGTCCTGACGGCATCTCGCCAAATGTCGGCACGTCGGTGGATAAGATTGCCAATGCGTGGTTCTGGATTGCCCTGTTCTTCCAGCTTTTGGCCAGGTAAGACTCTGTCTCGATTATGTTCTGACGGGCTATATACTAACTGCATACAGCTTTGGATTCCTCCTGTTCTACCGTAAAGAGCAGCTTAATCGGCCATAAGACAGCTTAATGTTTTATATTGATGGTTTAACGATCCATGTTGATAGACGGCGTTTGGATTACCTGTATATAGCTGTATTATAGAGATGATTTGGGTTCCTAATGAATAATATGACTGAGGTCCGGTTTATCAACTTTCTCTTGTAGCTGAGAGACCAACCAAGAGGAAGGTGGCCACGGTAGTCTGTTTCTTGAGATGCTGCGCTTATCCTACATTCACAGACTCAATAGATGCCCATATATGTCTTTGATGCATTCACATAGTATCAAAAAGTAAGACGACATGAGAGATATGCTATATTTACAGCTTCATATGGATGGCATAGTGAATAGATACTCAGATCTATTCACTTTATACTGCTGATCTCCCTGCCAGGCTTCGACATACAAGACTCTATCAGGACATACACTTCACCAGCTACTCGTGACAAACCCAACTCCCATATGTTTCGAATAAATAAAATGGAACCACTTATGATCTTCAGTGTCCCCTGCCGCAATGGAGTATACGGTACTACTGGAGCATACAGGTGCTCTATATACAGTCAACAGACTGCTCTTCCCGATCTCGTCGACAATTTCAAGAAGAATCATATCATTGTCTTTTTTCGGCGTCGGAGGAACGGGTCCGACTTTCTTGAAATGGCCTCATGCTGGGGATTCGCGTGGATTCCGATTGTTGAGCACAAACCTCTGGAGGGTAGTTACACAGGATAAGTTGACTCCTCGGCAGATCATCAGCGCATATACCGAAAGACAGTTGGGGAGGAGAAGTGGACCAATGAATCAGTTGGAGAACCATGGTGTATTTGCTGGGATTGCTGGGAGTGGGAACTATCCTCTGCTAAAATATTTTTACGCCGTCATAACGGTGATACTACCCTCTAGACTAAGTCCATTGTCTGGACACATTTTAGTCCAGCCGTGTTGGATTCTAAAGTCCTCTACCCGAGCAAGTCAGAGTAAGCAATATTCATCAGATTCGTCTATCCATTCATATACACAAACATGGGCAAAAGCGAATAATATCCCAGGAAGACTTCTAGTTTTGTAGGCCTCCGCCATGAACGATCAAGACCCTTTCCCTCGACTGCCCAGCATTTACTCCCGGCAGATCATGTGGTCTCTGGCGGGACCAGTACCGATCCATTTTACAGGTACACCGCCGAGCTCCCGCTCAATGTACTCGATGTAGGCGCGGGCATTGGCGGGAAGGTCCTCGTACTTCTTGACACCCATTGTGTTGCTCTTCCAGCCGGGCAGAGTGACGTACTCGACCTTGACCTTCTCGAGGACAGCGGCGTCGGCCGGGTAGGTATCGGTCAGGCGGGTTCCGTCAGGGAGAACGTAGGCGACTGCGACCTTGATCTCGTCAAAGTCGTCCAAGATGTCCAGCTTGGTCAGGTTCAGCGCGGTGTAGTGGTTGATCGCATGGGAGTAGCGGCAGAGGACGAGATCGAACCAGCCGCAGCGACGACGACGGCCGGTGGTAACGCCGAATTCCCTGCCGACTGACTGCAGCTTGTCGCCGTACTCGTTCAACTGTTCGCTAGGGAAGGGACCCGAGCCGACACGGGTCGTGTACGCCTTGACCACACCAATGACGGAGGTGATGCTGGTAGGGTTGAGAGACAGAGCCTGGACGGCACCACCCAGACCGGTGGACGAGGAGGTCACGTAAGGGTAGGTTCCGTGGTCCAGGTCGAGCATGAGAGCGTTGGCGCCCTCAACGAGGGTGTTTGGCGAGTCCTTGTACTGCTTGAAGAAGGCAAGCTGGTCGACAACATAGGGAACCAAGCGTTTCCGGTACTCCTATTCCATTGCGTCAGTATCAAACGCTTCAAACCATGTACCTGCCAGAAATCAAGTCGAAATACCTTGAATCGACCAATCTCCTCCTCGACATCATATTCCAACTCTCCGAATCTCGCAGTGTATCCAGCGTGCAGAGACCGCAGCTTGCGCTCAAAGACCGCCTCGTCCATAATCTCGCCAATACGGACACCCCGGCGGGCAGCCTTGTCACTGTAGCAAGGACCAATTCCCTTACCGGTGGTGCCGACCTTGCGACCACCCAGCTTAGCCTCCTCGAGACCATCGACAACAGAGTGCAGATCGAAGCAGACATGCGCGCGGTCAGAGATGAAAATGCGCTTGCCGGCATCCTTCAGCCCCTTCTCTTCCAAAGAGGTCAGCTCCTTGAAGAAGCTGGGGACGTGCACGACAGTTCCAGCGCCGATGAGGTTAACGCAGGACGGAGAGACCAATCCAGAGGGAAGAATGTGGAAGTCGTAAGTGATGTTGTCATGGACGATGGTGTGGCCCGCATCTGGCGAAGGAAAGAAAAAGAGTTAGGTTTGGAAACTCCGCGGGGAGATATGATACTCACTGTGGCCGCCAGCAGCACGACAGCAGAGCGTAGCCTCCTGCGAAAGCATGTCTGTGATCTTCCCCTTTCCTATCCGACAATAACGTCCATTAGCATGCCGTCCATGTCAAGCGCAACAGTGTTCATCGAGCCCCACCTTCATCACCCCACTGGCTACCCAGAACGATCGTGATACCCATTGTGGCAGAGAGAATCTTATTAAAGCAATTGCTGTGACAAGTTGTACTTCAATTGATCAATTGACAATGACCAGACTGCTTCGACGGTATGTATACGTCAAAGGATCGGCTTCGGTACTTAGAATAAGGCGGCGGGGTGTGGCTGTAGCTTTAGGCTTGAAACAGCACGAATTAAATCGGCTCTTTTTTCGAGAGTTAGCTTGAGAAAATGTCAATTGACTGAAGAAGGTCAAATAATTCCCGACCCGTTTGCAGGGAAGGTGAATGGAGCAGCAGCGAAGGCGTCGCGACTGTCAAAGATCCAAAAGCCGAAAAAACGGACGGAGGGGGAACCGCGGAGGCGCGGGCGATATTTGAGTCTTACTTTTTTCCTCCTCTTGCGCAGAGTGACTCAGCGGGGAGGCAGCAAATCAGGGCCTAGTACAATACCATACAGCCTAGCTCTTCATCGGCAAGCCAATCTGGCCCTGGCATTCTGTCACACTGTTACCGGTCTGGTTCTGCGGGCACTTGCTGAATCGGGAAGGTGGCGGACGTCAGATGATGCCGATATCGGAAGTAAGGGCTCGGGGCTCAGGGCTAGGGCTCGGAATGAATTCAAGATTGGTATCAGACTTTCTCACGGTAGATTGAGCATATCCGACCCGTCATGCTCAGTGCCAGAAAACCTCCCCTCTCTAACTGTGGTGCAAGACGCTTCTAAAAATACATGACTGACAGAAGAGGCTACCTAACTGTAGAACAGGCCCAACCATTTCAGAACGCCGAGCCGCCAACACCCATGCCATGCGAAAAGACCGTAGGCAAGAAACGTCGTAGGGGTATATCTATCCAGCCTAAATTAGTTTTCCTCCATTCAAGATCCATTCCCGCATCTCCCCGAGCTCCACAATGCATTTGCGATGGTTCTCACGGGCCACTTCCCAATGTTTGTGCACTCTTTCATCCTCGTCAAATGCACGCAAATAAGCACTGAATCCTGCTTTGGCGCTTCCGGCCACCATAGCATCGTCGCTCTCAGCGTCATCGTCTTCACGAGTCGATTTTTCATCATCCTCGCCACTCGGCTCGTTGATCTTAATACGTGTGGAATCTCCAACAGCGCTAATCCAGTTGGGGGCCATTCCTGTTTCCATTGCATCCTGGCGTGCATTGAAGTGACGCAGAAGTCGACGATTGAAAGTGTTCCACTCTCGCATGTAAGCACCCATCTCCGCGACATAACGGTCCCATGCGCCTCGGGGGAGTCCGAGTTGCTGCGACCCTGCGCTGATTGGAACAAGCTCCGGTGGGCTGGGTCTTTTCGGTGGATTAGGGCAAACGAGGCGCCTAGGACGAACATCGCGTGCTGTCGTCCTTGGCACCTTCGCGCGGGACTCAAAGGGTAGTGTCGCATGGATATCCTGCAAATCCTCGATGCCGCCACTATTCGTGCTGGTAAATGGCGCTGTGCTGCCTAGGTCATTCAGGTTGAATAGACGAGACTTAGAATTGGCGCCGGTGTCTTTGCTGTCAACACCTGAAGACGGCTGAGGGGCTTGATCTTTGGATGCTCTGTCAGTTTGAAAAGCTGCATCAGTGCTTTTGCTAGGGATATCATCATCGAGATCCATGGCTTCCACTTCCTCAGCCCCTGTATGGGTCGCCCCCTGTTTTGCGCTATCTCCGACAGTCGTCCGGGACTCTTCCGCTTCTGTCGCAACACTGGCAGGTTGTGGCGTAGGTCGCATCTTAAACCCTGATTTGGTCTGCTTCTTAGGACTTCGTTGGCGCTGAGTATTCGCCTGCTGAGAGGCTTCCTCGTTTTGAGGCATGGTCCAGCGTACATCCTTGAGCTTGGCAGCCCACTCGTCGACAGAAAACTTTGCCTCAGGAAACGCTGTCGGTGGTTGTGAAACGGACGCCGACCGAGACGAATCCTGGCTGAATAGCCCCGGCTGGCCTGCTCTTGAAGGACTCGCTCTTGTCGAGGTTCGTCCACGACTGTTCGGACGATGGTTGAACTCAGGTCGGCCATTCTCTGCCGTGCTTGATGTGAATGACCCAAACCCAAAATCGCCTTTCCAACTATCCGCAGTGAATGGTTTGCGTAAATCGTCGTGGCTGCTACTCTTGAAGGCTCCATTTGGTGGTGCTTGGCCTTCATTAGGCGCCGGGTTTCTACAGTTGAAGAAGTCAGCCTGAGAGTACAATGTAAAGAGCCAAGGCGAAAGTCTCATACGAGTTTGACGAGAATGCACCGAAAATATTTTCAGACGACGCTGGCTTGGCCGGTGCTGATGGTATTTGTTAGCACCCAAATACGCACGCACAGATTCAAGGGATATTCATAATGGAGTAGGCCAGCAGAAACAAGTCATCGAGAGCCTGTCACCTGAGACGGAGGAGGAAACTTACCCGTCCTAGGAGTAGAACCTGTCTGAGAACGAAAA